GTTCCAGTTAGTTTGATACGGTTTATTTAGTTACGGGGAGATTTTCTCAACCTCATTTTTACTTGACCGTGATAGAATTTAGTAATACTACTAATACACATGAATGGTTATCAAAATAAAATTTAAATACATGAGTGATAATTATATGAATTTTGGACAGATAGCTAGGAACAAATCGTTAAACATGAGTGTATTCGTAAGAGACATGCTCTAGACTCAATGTTCTGATCCAATACATGATGTAGAACAACGTTAGGCTAGAGAAGGAACAATATATTTAATACGAATAGAAGATATAAGATAACATTCAGATGGACCACGCCTGCATGGCCGAGCCATGCCATCCGATCAACTCCAGTCCATTCAGTTCATTGTTCGCGCCTTCTCCATTGTTAGGTATTTCTCCGCGTTAAATATTGAATGTCTATTTTCTGAGTAGTCTCGTGTTCACAGCTTTGTGGATTGTGTGGCTATTGTCCAATGCCACTACAAATGTATCATCTAAACCTGGAGAGCCTTAAAAGTAGGCAAAAAGCATCACTTGGTTGCAGACACATAGAAACGAAATATCAGAAGATTTAATATAAAACATTAGAGTATGACAGAAAACAGGATCAACACAATTCCCTAGAGAAAAAAGATAATACACGAAACTAATATATCCCACAGTAAACACAACCTTAGTGAGATCTGAACTAGAAAACTTTGTTAAGACTGCAAGCTGCTGCTCAAAAGGTGACCCAGGTATCCTGGAAAAAGCACAGAAGGACGCCATTCCAGAATTCTAGAGTTTACGATGCAAAGAGAGGTCTAAGAAGTTAGACTTCCTTACTCTGTCCTACCTCATATTGTGAGGTGATCTGATTTTGATGTATAGAATACTAAGGAATAGTTTTGGACTTGATATATCCCCTCTTTTTTGACTTTGTATACGGTGTTCGTACGTCCTAAACTTGAGTGCTACATACAAGCGGCTAGCCTCTGCTTAAAAAAGACTGTGAGCCTCTGGAAAACGTTCAGAGAGTAGTAACTAGGATGATTCTCGGAATCGCGAAGCTTCCGTACGATGCTCGACTGGCCAAGCTAAAACTTTTCCCGTTGTCATATCGCAGAACTAAAGGCGACTTTATCACAGTTTTCAAATTGCTTAGTTATAAATTTGCATCTGATGTGCCCTCATTTTTCTTGTCTTACAAGACAGAGAACTTGCGAGGACACTCGAAAAAGGTTTACAAGCCCAGAACAAATTGCCTGTTAACCGAGGCCATCTCACTGGTTGATGCTGCAAAGAAGTGTTTTAGCAAGCGTAGTTGGAACAGGTCAAGCAGCACTCGATCTGTCGACACACAAATCGACATGAAGCAAACTAAGGTTAGTTCGATAGTAGATGGCTCACGCCGGTCAAAGAAAGAAAAGCAGTCTTCAAAGGGGCCTGCCTTAAACAAAAGCTCAAGGAAATTGGGTTCTTCTGTTCCACGTCTTCCAGATGGGATCCAACAGGAAACGCCTACAAGCCGCAATCGCAAGGCCGGATTGGTTTCATGCGGTAAACATAGCCTGACCTCTCAGGTCGTCGACAACCCTCCAGAATCAAATACTAGGTTTGACGCAACTGTTGCTGCTTCTCCCAGCACCGTTGACGAGTGGGTACAGGTTGTAAGGAAGAAAAAAGTAGCAATATAAAAGGTAATCCTACCCCCGCGAAAGTAGTCGTAAAATCGAAAGCTGATCATAGCGACAGATCAGCTACTTTTCGTAGAATCAAGGAGAGCGAGAGCTCTGAACCTAAAGCTCGTTTTGAGCATGACATTGTGCTGATTAGGTAGCTGCCTAATCAACTCATGCCTAAAAATATCACCGGGGTCACCTTGCTAAAGGTGTACAGACTAGGAAGTCTAGCGGACTCGAAACCAAATCATTCCAGACTGCTTAAAGTAGTATTCAGCTCTTCGAACGAATGTGACCTAATTTTACAGAATGGGCACAAATTAACGGGTTCAGGAGTCTTTATCCGAAAGGACCTACCGTTGGCAGACCGTGTTAAAAGACGGGAAGCCGAGAAAGAACTACAACTAAGGTTAGACGCTGGCGAAAAGGACCTGAAAATTGTAAATTTTTGGGTTGTAAGACTTCGGCAGAGAATGATGCCGAAGTCACTCTGGGTGAAGCACGGAGGCACTTAAACAGGCTTCGGATCTGCTACACTAATGCCCGAAGCTTACTTAATAACCGATCAGAACTGGGTGTACAGATTGACTCCACAAAGCCAGACATTATCGCAGTTACAGAAACCTGGCTGACACAGGATATAGATAGTATGGAACTTGATTCCGAGGGTTTTACGTTAGTAAGGGCCAACAGAATCCGAAAGCGTAAAGGAGGGGAAGTGGCTTTATTCATTAGGAGTGCTATGCAATTTGCCATTATCGACAATGTATCCCATGAGAGTGAGACGTGTGAATTAGTTAGTTAGTTGAAATGCATGGGACAAGAGCTGCTGATCGGTTTGGTCTATCGCAGTCCAAGCTGTGAGGTAAATGAAGTCCTGCTAAGCAGTCTCAATACTTGGTCACAAAGTGGTCGATGTATAATCCTAGGGGACTTTAATGCACCTATGGTAGACTGGAAAAATCTGCGAACTGAATTGTCAGAAAATTCCTTCGAGCAGGAACTAGTTGTTGCGGTTATCACATGTGCTTTAGTGCAACATGTGAAAAAGGGACTAGGTACGTCCCGGACACTGAATCATCCTTACTAGATCTGATACTCATTCACTATGTGGATGACGTTGTGAACCTTCATTATATGTCACCCCTAGGTAAAAGTGATCACGAAGTTTTAATTTTCGACTTCCACATAACTGTCAGTCACGAGCACGCGTCTGCCCAATCCAGGCCTAACGTCCGGAAAGCAAATATACCAGATATCATGCACTCAGCATCGTTAGTAGATTGGACAATAGACCCAGAGTCCTCGGTTGAAACGGCCTGGAACGCATTTCGAAATTCATACTTAAAAGTTACCACACCCCACATCCCTTGGACTATACCAAGAGGGCCGAGAAACTCCCCACCATGGTTCAGTAGGGAGGTTTGCATCCATCCCCGTAAAAGAAGAAAAATGTGGGATAGATTTAGGTTACTGGGGACTGATGAAACTAAATCCCAGTATAGAAAAGTCTGGAATACCTGTGCCTCGACCCTCCGTAAGTCTAGAAAGTTGTACGCAGAAAGGATCGTTAAGGAATCCATAGAATGTCCTAAACGCCTGTATTCCTATATAAACCAAAGGACTAGGAGAAAAGGAAATATTCCTGCTCTATGGGGAGACAGTACTGCTTCATCACTAGTGGAGGACGACTTTGGTAAGGCTCAAGTGTTCTCGAACTACTTTAGCAATGAACACACCATAGAAGCAGTCTTCCCGTCAGCGCGTACAAATCCCCCACACGTATACTGGATAGCGTGGCCATCAAAGAACTCGATGTCTTTAGTTTGCTAAATAAGCTTGACATAGGTAAATCCACGGGGCCCGATGAATTGCATCCTAGGCTACTGAAGGAATTATCTAACTTCGTTGCGAACCCTTTAAGCATATGCTTTAATCTATCCGTAACGCAAGGTCGTTTACCAAAAGACTGGAAGAACGCCACAGTAAGTCTTGTCTCCAAAACAGGTACGGAACATAAACTTGAGAATTACCGGCCAGTTAGCCTAACTAGTGTGGTTGTTAAAATCTTAGAAAAGATTATTTGGAAGGAGCTGTTCAAGTACCTCGATGAAAACCTGATCCTTTCGGAGAAGCAGCACGGTTTCAGAATAGGTTATTCCTGTCTGGTGAGCCCTTAGGAATCAGAAGCTACCTGTAGATGTCGCCTTCATACATTTCAGTAAAGCTTTTGACAAAGTTCCGCACAACCGGCTGTTATAAAAATTAAGAAAAGTCGGGATTGGAGGCAATCTATTTATGTGGATAAAAGACTTCTTAGTTGGGCGTCAGCAAAGAGTTCGAGTGAACTCAAAGTTATCTAGCTGAGAAACTGTGATTAGTGGAGTGCCCCAGGGTACAGTTTTGGGGCCAGCGCTATTCCTCTTGTATGTAAATGACATTCCTCGTCTTCCATCATCATCGGTCTTGCTATATGCTGACGATGTCAAGATATGGAGAGCAATACGAAGTGAGGGTGATAGCTTAGAACTCCAAAATGACCTGGAGAAGTTATCTGAATGGTCTGAAACCTGGCAGTTGCCGATAAATACTTCCAAGTGTGTTGTGATGCATATCGGTCATCAAGGCACAGATACACACACGATGAATAACACTGAGCTACCTGTCGTCCAGACATATAATGACTTTAGAAAATGCCTAAAAAAAGACAGTGAGCTTCTGGGAAAGGTTCAGAGAACGGCAACTAAGCTGATTCCCGGAATAGCGAAGCTTCCGTATGATGCTCGACTGGCCAAGCTGAACCTTATCCCGTTGTCATATCGCAGAACTAGAGGCGACTTGATTACAGTTTTCAAATTGCTTAGTGCCAAATTTGCACCTGATATGCCTGTAGAATTATGGTCTACTATGATACAAGTACTGCTCTAATAAGAGACCTAATTCAAAAATTGTGGATTTGTTATGATATAACTGCTTAATCTATAAGAACTTACATGGAAGTCATATCATCGTCTACACCAACTCACTGTATTGTAACAATCACCAATACATGATGTATAACAAGCTTAGGCTAGAGATAGAACCATATATTTATGATGAATGAAAGATATAAGGTAACATTCAGCAGGGACCACGCCTGCATGGTCGAGTCATGCCATTCGACCAACTCCAATTCATTCAATACATTCTTCCCGCCTTCTCCATCGTTAGGTATCTCTCCGCGTTAAATATTGAATATTTGTTTTCCGAGTTGTCTCGTGTTCAGCTTTGAGGATTGTGTGGTTATGGTCCAATGCCACTACATGCCCTCATTTTTCTTGTCTTCCAAAACAGAGAATTAACGAGGACACTCCAAAGTTCACAAGCCAAGTCAGCTGACTATCGACTTTCCCATCGAATCATCAACGAGTGGAATTCATAACCTCAGCACGTGATTGAGGCTCCATCCGTCAAATCCTTCAAAAGAAAGTTGGATCAACTAAGAGATCACCGTTGCTAGGACTAATACAGGCCATCTATTCTCCTGTCTTTTCCAAACTGAAACTGAAACTATCAGATAGATAAAACTCAAAGGTGTCCACTGCTTCAGTTGTTTTATTCATGAGGAGATTGTTCACTCTTAGAGGTCTACTAGAAAATGACTAATACGGGCCGTAGGTTTTCTGTCCTTAATATAAATGTCGGAATATGATGTCTGTAATTGTACTTTGGTTCTTGTCACCTTGGCGCGGGTTGTACATATTGACTGCTGGCGTCATGTGTTATAGTAATGTTTGTAAATATGAATGAGGAGTTTGGGGATACTATAATAAGTCCGGATCAGTTGCTTTCTTTTGGGCTTGGTGGGCTTCGTAATATAGGCAACACTTGTTACATGAATGCCGCTTTACAAGCCTTATCAAATTGGTAACTTTCAGTGATTCTTTTCAGTTTTACAGTCCACATTTAACGGAATTTTTCCTCGAGTGTCATAACATCCTTGATCCAAATCGAAGGCTTGTGTTGTTCAATCATTATTGTACACTACTTTCTGAATTTTGGGGAAATGAAAGGTAATTAAATTTAATGTTTAGACAAAATGCATGTCTGTCAGACCTTGGTAACGCAGCTTTTATAACTTTGTGTGTACTTCTGCCTTGATTCCCATTTCACCGTTATTATGTCTAACCCCAGCAGTATGGTATCACAGTTTTCCCTTAACGTACTTGAAAACGCGAGTATGTCAGTTAGATTTTACATGTCAAATATGACAAATAACAAGCTTGTGAAAATGCCTTCTTTTTTGATTTTACAACAGTAGCGAGTATGGACCGGGGTATACTTGGAAGTTTAGAGCGAGGTTGTCACTAGTTGTTCCGCAACGATGCTTGGCATTTCGTCTATGGCAATATGTCATCTGCACAGGAAGAGGAATGATGATTAGAAGCAGGAGGTGAAATTATAGTCGTTTCATTGCCAGTTTAAAGTCAAGGATTTAGGACATCGTTCGAACAGAAATAAAACGAGAGACAACTCACTTGATATTTGTCGAGATAGGTAAAATTATTGACTTTTGACTTTCCCACTTATGATACCAACTGCCAATTCAGATTGTCGTGTGGACTTTTCGTTCCGTCATCATGTCTTTTGGTACTTCGGATTTTTATCGACACAAAACTTTGTTCAGTAATTCTGTTGGTTGCCACGATACTGCTATTCCAAACAAGCGACGCAATGATGATATGACTCAGTCATTTGCAAGTTTAAATATCAGGTTCTCAGCCATACTTCGCGTGAGGGGCAGTAGTAATATATGAATACTCAAGCTGGGTCCTGGCTAACTGGACTTTAAGTTCAATACTCCACTATTAAGTAATATTATCATTAGGTCTTATACACTGATAGTGCCCGAAATTAGGCTCAACGGTCAGATCATGATTCATTGAATAACAAATGGCATCCAAGCTAGTCTCCAGTTATTTTTCATTGTGTATTTTTGTGCTTATATTCTGTGCATAGGCGTTTTACTTCTTATGACAAACTTATTCATCTGACTGGCGGTCTTGTCTTTGATTTCGAATCTTTCGAGACTTTAAGTTAATAATACGGTTTAGTAAACAGCAATCGCTCGGCTACTTTATACCACCACGGCCATCTATCAATTAGCGATCTCACCTGTCTTGATGTCAGTCACAAGACCTAAGACGAATATTCGTCGATTCAGGTTAGAAACTGAACTGTCACCGTTTAACACCTGCGTTATCAATCCATTTGATCTTAGTGTTTTCCGTTGTTTCAAACTTGCTACATTTTTAAGTTCTCCAATGTTCAAATAGTTAATGAAGCTTGTTGTTCTATGTAATTCACCTTTGGAACAACAGAAGCTCCTACATATTGTTGTAAGCACAGTTTCAGAGAGCAAAGAATAACGTTTTATAAACCCGAAATGTCAAAACTTACCATACATGCGGAAAATATGAAGCTACAGAAAAACGTCGATAGTATAGATATTAAGAGGTAGAAAATTCATCTGCGAACACGATAATCTTAAGTGCGTTTAAAAATTTAAGACATTTTCAGTTCTAGGTTCCCTACTCTAAAAAGATGTTTTTTGAAGCACATGAGAAACTAGATAAGTTAGTTGTAGTTTCTCGACCTAGGAGCTTAACCGTTTGGTCCATGGGACTGTTGTTTGTTGTTGATCACTTACGATGTTTCTGTAAGTAATATTTAATGTACTGTTTAATGCTCTATAATTCTCAGACTATAACGTCGTCGAAAATCTATGTAGGAATGTGAGGTTTGGAATTTGTAGAGCTGATCTTTTTTGACCTTTTGTTGTGAAAAGTTGGCATCCTTAGTAATGTGTCAATTCTTATCACTTATTAACTTCCCATCTTGACCTTTCACTTTTTTAAACCCTGTTGAGTAGTTTAAAACTAGGATAAAGATCTCTGGTGACTCCATGTTTTCTCAGGTTGTGTAAATGTGGTCAGTGGTGTAAATTATCCTCAAACTGAACCTTCACCACGAACTTATCTTAGTGACGTTAATCCTAATGAGTTACTTCGAAAACAATTTCTGGAATCCTAGTAACCTATAGAGTACAACTAGGTTGTGTTTAAGAAAAAGGAAAATCCCTGAAATTTCTAGTTCATTATTTTTCTGTGACGTCACTTGTTTTTCTCGACCTACATCTCTTTGCCTAGTTCCCTACTATCATCGGTACTACTATTACTGCAGCTTCTTTAATTCCTGTATATTAATGTCGAGTGTGATAGCTTGAATCAATGCACTTTTATGCCTGAAAATTAATGACAAAATTCTCAATAAATATACGGAAGTATGTTTTATACTTAGTCACCGTAATATATATTTCTGAATCCGGTTAACAATTTTGCGGATTTTGCTTTAACTTTTGCGGTGGAAATGTGATTCATAGATTCTAAATGTTGGCACACGTGACTTTACTGAAATAAGATTGTGGTCCATCCGTTTTTCTTAAATAACAGACGACGGTTTACAGAAAGCTGTTCTGGTTGATTTTCTCCTTTAGTTTCAATTAATTTGAATATCATACTTAGTACCATGTAATTCGCACTGTTGATCTGTTTTTCTTTTACCTTTCCTCATTTAGACCACGCTGTTTCAATGCAAATACAATTTTAGATACTTTCTGCATTGTGCACCCAATGTTCAGAGGTTATGCACAACAAGATGCTCAAGAGTTTTTGAGACTATTTTTAGTCCAGCTGCACGAGGAACTGAAACACTCAAGGCTTTCAAACTCAGACAAAAAAGGTACTATCAGACCAAAGAAATAGATTGTAACTTTAATGTTTTCGTCTGTCATTAGTAGTAGGTCAGTATATGTGAATCTTACTCTGTTAGCTAAATATTGGCCTCAGTTTGCACTGCTCTGTGTTTGCTTTGTTTTTAAGTAGTTCAGCTTCATTTTCTAAGTTTTATTTGATCCACTGGTTTAATCTGACAATTGTCATAATCTCCGAGTTTCTCACAGGAACAATATATTAGGTTTTCGCTTTATGCATTCAAGCCTCCATTTCGACCTGAGAAGCTGATTATCATTCAGTGCATTTACGCTACTTGTAAATCAAATCCTAAAAAAGAAACTTGTAATAGGTGAATAAATTGTAGAGGGTATTAGTTTGCCACAATAATTATACCTGTATTAACAGGTTGAAACTACATGAATGTTTTATTAGGCTAAACACAAGCTCATTCGAAAGGCTATGATAGACATTATAGTGGGCTGTGACAAATTTACACAGGTTTTGAATAATTTTTAGGTTATCCTTTATTCTGTGAAAACAAGACAACTATAGACAAAATTTGTGTTCACTTTCACAAATAGTGGTTGAATTATATCAGATATTAATTTACACAGTCTTTGTATCACTACCAAAAGGTTATAATTACTCCGCATAAACTGGTTAATCAGACCTTAAGTATAGGAACATTAATTTTCAATAGTTTATTTACTTATTTAAACACATAAATATTGGTTCAAAGGGGCACCAAATATTTATGCGTTACACAATCAGAAAATGAGTATTTAAAGAGATAGAGAACGGGAGGTGATTATAACAAAAGTAATGTGTGAATGAGACAGAAAAATAATGAATGAAGCAGTCCAGTTAACAAAAATACAACCGGAAGTGTTTCTTCTAGTAAAGAAATTCTTCTTACCTGAAGAAGTTCAAAAAGATAATAGGACAGCTACTGACTTTTATTCTCAGCTGTCTGTTATTGTCTCAGGCCAGTGTTGGACCATCTCTAGGACCTGAGCCAGGGAGTCGTGAAGGACTGACAGATGCCAGTTCTATCCAGATTTTTCCCATACCACGACACCATATCATAAACTGATCACCTCTCCGCTTCTTCCAATCGGCCCTATCGTCAACAAATCATGGATTCGCTGGGACGAAATTCGTAGCACATATCCAAGTCACCGGAGTCGGTGTTTCTAGGTGGTGACAATAACTGAGTTATCATCACTATATATAACTAGACATTTACATTGAAAAAATGTCACTAGATGTCAGAAATCCCTCGGGGACAACGATAGTCGAACACAAAGTTGCCTAACATCCTCAACTTGATGAGGCCAGGTTTCATAAGCGTAACGCAAAACTGCTGTCACCGACGCATTGTCAATCCAACCCTTTACATCTAGGCTAACAACATAGGCTCCGAAGATGACGTAGATTGTCATAAGCTTCTCTGGCTTCTACTGTACGTATATTTATCTCATGGATCACACCAGCACTTGCGTAGCTACCTAAATGCACGAACTTTCGCATTACTCCTGGCGGTTCACTACTAAGAGTGAGTATGAGCACAGGCTCTTGCCAGTCTTATAAAAGTACTTTAAACTTAGAAGACGCAAAGCATATGCCATGCCTACGGATACTGATTGCAGATTTTATGGCTTGGATATCTTTTCACAGTAAGAACGTATCATCCGCATACTCAAGGTCGAAGAGTTTTTCCAGGTAGCAGACTCACACCGCTACTACCTACCTCCATTGAGCTGTTCCCAGGACGTAATCGATAGCGAAATTGGAGTGGAATGATAAGATTGGCTACCTCTGCTTGAACGGAACAATGGAGGTAAGGTGTTGTACACCCTCACTCTCTGCTTGATGTGTTTGCATTTAGGACTTTCAAAATGTTAATAAACTTCTCAGGCACTTTATTCTCCAATAAACAATCCCGAAGAATAGTCCTGTCCAACGAATCAAAAGGGGCCCTGATGTAAGGACAAAGATTGTTGGCTTACAATAAGTATGGTGATTTTCTAGTCAAGTTTAACCGTCAATTATTTATGTTAATCCACTCTGGGAAGTGATTGTTGGTCCGAAACATGAAAGTCCCTTTTCAAATTTTGCCATCTCTAAATGCGAATCTTCCTCTTTATATTTTATGTAGGCATCAAACAAACAACTACTGGTTCATCGGACAACAGTAAAAACAGTATAATTACCGATGTCTTTCAGGGCAGATTAGTTAGCTCTGTCCGTTGCCTGTCATGCAGTCGGGTTAGTTACTTATTCGTTGTTACAGAAATCTTGAAAAATATTTCCTTTCATTCCCAGTTATGATGTTTAGTTTGTTAATGTTTCAAATGATCTTATGAAATTTAGAATTATTAAAGTTTCTGTTTTTGATGTCTAAATAAATGCAGACACATTTAGAAAACTCTCGGCTTCTGTTAACTTTGAGTCACTTATGGAGTAGGTGAGATGTCCGTTTGCCAAACAAAAGGGGAGTATACTGCACAACAGTTCCTTCTGTGTTACTATATGTCCATGACACATGTTTCATGGAAGTAGAAGAGATACGTAGGCTTCAAATGTCTTCGAAGCATTTCTTGGGTTTCGTGAAACGACCAAGTAAGCAACACTATGGCTAGACATTAGAGTAATAGGTATATATGATAAATTGGTTGGTGAGGTTATGGGTCATACATTCCGTATGGATAACTGCCCCTTACCTCAGTGAGCTGTGTTAGTTAATGTAGGAGTATGTTGAAAGAAATCTAGAGGTGGCCATACCAAAACCTAGGGTCAGTTTATGAAGTCGCTGACTGTTGGTCTAAACCATGTTTGTGGATGCGGACCACCTGATTAAGATCCATGTGGTGACCGTGTTTAATGGTTGCAGACGTTGAGTGCTATGGCTTAGAATCAGTCACAATGGCGCAAATGCTTTCACTCTTCGTCCTCCTACAGTTCTTGAGTCCTAGTTTTCCCTCATAAATACCTTTACAGATCATATTTGTAAGGTTTAGTCTTCATCGTTATCATTGGTACTGCACTTTTTTTAGACTTTATTATTCATGTTTTTAATCTTATCTCCGGCTTAATATGGTAATATCGACGTGGGCTAAGGTAATTTGTTGTCGGCTCTACATTAATTATGACTGACTGTGACCAATGGAAGTTGCTGTCTTTTGACAATTATATTCAAATCCTTCAACTTGCGAAATGAATTTTTTGTTTACTCAGTGTGAAAAGTTGTTTAATTTTGAAGATAATTTCTATCTTGGGCCAAGAATAGTTTGGTATTGTGAATGTCACTGCTGAAAAGTCTCATACTAATTAGAAATAACTGTTCAGTCCTTTGTTGTCTGCAGTTTAATACGAACTTTTAAGTTAAATGAATCTAAAAAAACCAAGGAAACCCGTTATATCATAAAATAAGTAAAGTCAGTTTGACGAAAAAAGATTGTTTTTCATGATATCAATTTATAAAGCTAGCCATACAGTCTCATTCATTCCTTTTCTTTTTTTGAATTCACAGTACACAAATATTCACGATAATAGGTACTTTGTTGTTCAGTCTATAGAGTGTGTGTCACACACAGTTTGAAGAAGGCTATGAATGTAAATTTTATTCATTCCAAATTAATTTCATTGAAGCCCATTAATTTACATATGTCCTTGCTGATTTAAATTCTGTTGAAATTTATTAATGAAATTTATTATTTATTTTTTCTGGTACCATACATATAAACAGAATAAAAATGAATCTGAGACCTGTACATTTAGATTATTTAAACATTTGTAAATTTTTATTAGTCTTCAAGAATTTCGTACAGCAATTTCAATTTACCTCGATAAATATAGCGTACTATGATTTCTCTCTGGTGTTTATTAAATGAGATGTTTCGTCTGGAAAAAATAAAGGATTTCTGGTCGTTCTGTAATTCTCTTGTCCACTTTTCTCATTTTTGAAAAATTAAATGTACGTGTTGATAATTAACTGATCACTGAGTAGTGATTATTGTGTACATCAAGTCCTTAGTGAATTTAATCGACAAAATTCGGTCAACATTACAAAAGACTTACATGACATTGACGACTACTCATTAATCGGTCAATGGTTAATACATCTCTGTCCTACAGGAGGTCAGTCGCGTCTCGAATAGCTTAGTGGTAACGTCCCTGATTGCACATTTGGGTGTCAGAATTGAATCGGTCAGAGTATTAGTTATCTTGAGATTACAAGTACACCCTACTAACAAGTGCCAGATAGCACTAAATATAAGTTTAGGGTCTTCTATCGACTGCATTTAATCACTTTACGTGTGAAGATGTATGTCCTTGTGATAGATTCTGGAATTTTTAGTTTTTTCTGGCTTAGCTCCGGATGATTTAAAAGGTGTTTTACGAGTCTTCATTATCTCCGTTCTCACAAATTTAATTCATATATTTTATGCAACAGTGCTTCCATTTATTTGATGAAGTGTTCACTAACATCCACATTTACAGTAAATTTCTAGTGAGTTTTTTGTATATATATGATCATTACTTCTATATAGCTTTCCAATCGGGAGGAATCATTTATGGACTTGTCCCTTTCCCTTACCAAACCTACTGTACAAACGTATTCATCCTCTTCTGTTGATCAATCAACAAAATCCTCCTTGATGAATGGTTCAATAAGCACAGGTTCTTCATTGAAAAGTGGTCCTGTATATTTGAAAACATCTAATGATTTGCAACAGACACAACCATCGAAGTCAACAAGTAGAAGGTATTCTACACGTGGATCAAAAATAAAATCATCGTTATTCACATTACCAACAGTTGTTGGTCGTCTGGTAACGGGTATTCCTTGGTTACTCACTATGCTTTTAACCCTAACTCATATATTTTTATCCTATGTACAAAGCTTTTTGCCCTCGTAAGTTCTGGCGTAAATTATTTGTACTAGTTTAAATTAATAATATATATACGTTTAGATTAATTTATTTTCTATCAAAACAATATGAGTAAGTCAATGGCAAATAGAAATAGATAAGTGAAGATAGTGGGAATGATAGTAAATTTAATAGGGAACGAAAAAAGAACCAACGAAAGAACTATGACCATAGTATAGAATTTTTGTTTTTATTTATATAGTCATCTCTGATGTACAACATGGGGTTTTATCTGAGCAATTTAAACCTAGACATTGTTCTAAATTTTGTTTCACCAAACAATATTTACAAATTCATTAGTATAGAGATGAATGTTGTTTGATGATCAGTGTAGATAGTGCAATCTAACGCACAAGTCAGCCAGTCATATACAACGTAGAGTCTGGTATCGGTTCACATTGTCACGGTCAATTAGCACAGCCTGGTGGAATTGTCAGAGCGAATTTCATATTACTATTGTTCATATCAAAGAAATGACAGTGGAAGGTATGATGTACGAAGGAAATGTGGATCAATAGAATCACAATACCATATTACAGTAATCACAGAACCTTGTGTGTATACATATCATTTGTAAATTTCCAATAATCTAACTTATAATTTCTGACCTAAGGTTCTTGGTATCGAGCTCCGTGTGCGGTATGGTTGATGCGCATCGCTGAGGTATCCCATACCGGGACGAAACGGTCGTTCAGTGCTTCCACGTTTTCAATGGTGGTCTAACGTTGATCGGTTCATGATAGCAATTCAAACTCAACAATCTCCACAAAAAACTATACTCATAATTTTTCTATTTTTTGTTTTATATTTTTGTTTATATAACAGACCTAAACAATGGATAGATAAATGGTCTACTCTTACCCTTGAAGATTGCTTATCTCATTATTTTTCTGAAGCGGAATTAGTTGGTGAAAATGGATACTTTTGTGGAAGATGTAATCGGTAAGTTTTGTGCTGGCGTTTTGTTTTTGCTTGGACGTTTACATGTCCATTCGTTAAAGAAAGAGTTAAGTTGTGAACTACACTACTCAGCAATTCGAAAATGTCACACAAATTCGACCGGTAGCTTAAGAGTGGTAAAGATCAGCCATATACACTGCCTGAAATTTGTTATTTTTTAAACTGAACAGTCATTTTGCTGGTTGCATAATCTCGCTTTTGTAACACCCTATCTAATCACTAGTTTTTCCGATTATCAATTGCCTGGACAAGAGAGTGTGCTGATACAGACATGAAAACCAAATATTATCTCCTCTATAATATAAATGATGCGAAATGAAGTTGGTCGATATTTCTTGTCCCGTCATTTGTGAACCAAATAACCTATATATTTTCTATTAATCAAACATGAAACTTTGCTGTTTCAGTGTACTAGAAAGAACTGAACTCTCATCAATCAGCTAAAATCAACGTATGACCTGGGGCAAATAATATAAGAGACCCACTTACCATGCTACATAGGCAAACTGAGGGGAAATAAACTTAGTGGCCTGCTTCGTTTCGGGCTCCCAAGCAATATCCCAATATTTGTTCTTGCTTTATTTAAATTCATAAAGGGAACTAATTGCATGAAATATTCCAATCTTCGCGCAAATCGAACAACAAAGTGTAGCGCATATATGCTTGGTGCCTCCTTGTACCAATGTTTATGCGCTTAAATAAATAAATAAACTTGGTGAATAGTGAAGTTGAAATAACAGTAGTGTCAAAGAATTAAAAATATTCTGAATATAGGAAATATGGTTCCAAAAAACTGTATTAGCTTAATAGAAAGTATGAAACATCATTGAAACTAAAGACCTAGAAGGAGACAAAGAATGAATGCGGCTGCACCATTGCAACCTATTTCCAGCGTTGTAAACACAAGGTCTTCAACCGTTAACCAGTGTTAACTCACAGACACTACAAAGTGTACATCTAGTAACACAGTTTAAATCAACAGTCTTGGTTCAACTACCTGTAGTTTTTTCCCCATCTTTTATATTTGATTCAAAAGAGTCCTTTAAATTCTTATTAATTTTATGTTGACAAGATTAGTGGATTTTTTCAGTCTAATTCTTAGCGCTTCATGTATGTATTCATCAAGGCTACTAAGAAATGTTTACAACTACTGTTTACGACTAAAACAGTGAACATGCTATTATCTTCACCTAACTTTCCGTTCATAATGATTTATTGTTGAGTACATTAAATATTTCATTAAATGGTTTCTCATTGTTGCAGGTGTTTGTTTATGCCGTACTTTGTGTGTGTGTGTTTAACCCCTTTCCTCCAAGTTTTTCTATCTAAGGTGGACGACGTATAGCTTTCGCTATCTTTTTTCTAACTACTTTTACTTTTACGTCATTCAATCAATTAATTGTTCAGGTTGCAATAAATTTACTCTATTTTCCTTTAAAAAACTTCTTTACACAGGCGGTGTAATGGATTGAAACAGTTCAGACTTGTCGCGTTGCCGGAAATTCTTACACTTCACTTGAAAAGATTCAGTAGTAATCATTTATATTCTTCGAAATTATCATCTCCAGTGAATTTCCCGTTAAAGAATTTAGATCTTTCACCATACCTTCATCGTGATTGTACCGATAAAGTAAAGATTATTTCCTTTTTTCTTCTCTACCTTCCTCTGATATATATTTTCATGTCAATTTAAGGTGTTTGTTTTTTAAAAAAAAACGAAATGGTTACATTTTTGATCGTTGACGAAACAGGTTTGTTTAATTTTCTAGGTCAAAGTTCTGTTTATAGGAAAACTTTAAATTTTCTTCCATTATTAGTCGTTAAAACAATTTTTGTCAACAAAATTAAGCTACATTACTAAAAAGAAAAACTGTTCTAGTATGAAGGTTTAAAAGTTAAATTTTAATCATTGGAAAAAGTCATTTATTATTAACATGCTGAATAATTTTTCAACTTATTTCAACTTTGTTGAAATATGCTAACGAAACTTTGTAATTATCTACGAAACCAATTTACATATATAAAAAAGATATTTAAAATGGAAGCAAGGGGTTGTAATCTTACTGCGAGTATTCTATGACTATTTTATCCTTGAATAGCATTCTTATCAGAATGTTTCTCGTTAAAGTCTTCTTCTCATCACATGATTCTATGGATTGAAACTCATCTGTTTATGCCATGGTAGTATGGGAACTTGGGCCAACACACATCTGTGTCAGGTTCGGCGTTGATGATATCTGTGTAAATATATTAAGATACCGTCCAATCATACAACTACCACAATTTATATCTGATCACGTCGTTATCAGCGTTTTTAATCGTGTCAATATTTGCTATTTACCGCCGGATGTAAATTACTTTTTCAGCGCATTCACGTGTGTGTGTTTCGAAAACATCTTGTTTCTCTAATAAACCATGATAAATAATCGAAAGACAGTAACGGGAGTTAATACTTAGTTCAGCTATGTGTAGTGGTCGTAGTTTCGGACACCACAGTTAAGATCTTAGCAAATTTCTACACCAACGAAATTGAATTGATGTAAAACCAAAGGTATTATTGCGGAAACGCATTTGATTGGTTTTACATTACATCTCTGCAAAGCTTTCATTTACCTGACTGTATTTAGTTAGTTTGTAACCAATCGGCTTTCGTAAACGCTATTGAACGATTGGTTTTCTCAGTTGACCTTGTATGTTGTAAGCGTTTTGCTTCAGTTCACCGTGCTCCAAATTTTAACCCTTTCCTCAAATCTCTATTTTGTTTACCTTTACTCTTGGTATCGATTCTGTCGAAGTTAAAGTGCTCTGATTGAACAGTATTCGTTAGGGAAAAATATACTTGGTGTTACATGACGTGTGCATGATGTATACATTCAACATCTTAATTAAATCGTGCTATCATTATGTATAAGACGTTCCAATTGTGTTGTTACCTAGTTACAATCTTCCACATTACTTTCGAACGCATTAAATAAATGATATTTCTGTATTAGATTACAACCTATGATTTAATTGGTGTCATCTGTCACTATGGCGGTTGCGGCGGTGGTCATTACACTACATGTGCGTATAATTCCTCAACGGAACATTGGTATGAATTCAATGATGAACATGTACGAAAATTAGATGCCGAACAAGTGGAATCGTTGAAAAGTTCAGCATATATCCTGTTTTATAGGTAAATAATATTGTGCATTGATCTCTTTAAAAATTTAGGATGAAAATCATATTGTATTATCAGTTAGTGTTTTGTAATATATGATACATGTATACATTTTGAATAAGCTTTATTGTCATTTTTACATTTAGTTTTTTGTATCTCATCCTTTTTTAATGAAATCTCTTACATACAGTTTCATTATTTGCCTCTATTACTCAAGCTGTTTCGTAACGTTAATAAGTTGATTTTCTTGGTAGTAATCAAATCATTTCAATTCCAGCTATCATTTTATCGGTTCGAACCTACTGTAGTTTATAGTACAACTGCCTGTCGAATGAAATATCAAACTAATTTTCCAGATAGAGATTTCTGTACTTAGCTTTAAGGTGTACTGCAAATATGAGGGCTAATAATACTAATCGATCACTCATACTAAATTAAGTAGGGCGGAGTTCGAATCTGTATCTTATTATTAGATTATCACTCCATCCATGTTAGCTGAAATGGACATATTGGGGGAGCGGTATTTACATAAACGTACGGTAATCATACGTAAGCGTAATAACAAGTCATAATTAATATTTCGTTGAATTGTTGCCTATGATTGTTTACCCAGATTACTGGACAGTTCTTTTTACCTAGAATTGTAAACGATTTGTTTTCAGTTTCGCTGTAGCATCATAGGTCTGATTTCTCTAGTTAGGGTTTTCTTTTTTTTCACCTTCAAAATACAGTAATTATTACTTTGTTTTCATGTACTTCGGTAAATATTTGGTTACATTTACTAAGTGAAAATATTTGGGCATTTTTCCGTTTTATAAACCTTACTAATTACATTGATCGATCAATTATTCGTTGTTTTAAAAAATTATTTTGAATATAGTTTTGTTTGTTGCTTTTGTTTCTGTTGTCTTCGTCATTGCCATCACATCTATAAGTAGTATATTTTCATTCATTCTTTGTTAGGGTTTACCTCTCTCTCTCTCTCTCTATATATATATATATATATATATATATATATATATATAACTTGTTTGTTTATTTAAATATCAACCGTTGAATATAGTCGCATAAGCAGACATGATAAACAATACAAATCATATGACATAATGTGATGAAATGAGTTTCGTGCAGTGGATTTTGAAATCGATTAGATGGGAAAACAGGTTTATTACAACACCGACTATGTATATAATCGAGTGCTTAGAGAACTGAAAGAAAATAATACTTTTGTTGTTCGTCATCATAATTATGTCGAGCTATTTTTTCTTGCTGTTGTACTGTTTTTGGACAAATTAAGAACAACGAACGTAGATTACCACCTGGAAACGATTGTAATAATTATTTTAAACCAATGTACATCCTCTAAATCCTATTGATAAAAATTAGTAAGGCAAACGACGATTGCCTGTTATCCTTTTGATAATTGGCCCAATGTTGACATTTCAGAAGTTTCCAAAATAATCAATTCTAAGAGTCTCGAATTTATCACATTTCACTTGGGACATCATCTGTAGACCAATGAGCCTGGATCTAATGATGTACATATCTAACTATAATCATTTCACGATATTGTGCAATCATTTTTTATTGTCTGTCGTGAATAACTGTTATATACCCAACATTGTTGAAGTCCATCGGGTATGACTTCTCAAATATGTCGGGTATGAGATAGTTATCCACCACAGGCTGTGGAAAATAGTTGCACAATATTGTGGATTGAAGTACACCATTGGATGCCTGTTCAGTGGTCTAGAGGTTCATCATTCGTGCGCAAGGCCGAAGGTCCTATGTTCGGTCCCCTGCAGTAGTGGGTCCGTAGATGTGTACCTCTGAGTAATCTCATAGTAGTTATTCAGTGCTTCTTAGTTTATAGTGGTGGTCTTCGTAGGATTTATGATTTAGCTTATTGGAATTTATTAATGGGAAGATTGTATTAAATTTTCCAATAAACATTTACCTTTTTCTTTCAGAAAACGTGACACACATTTGGAACCAATACGTAATTCTTGGCAAGTACGTGTCAATAGTAGGTGTTTTGTGTTTATGATATTTGTTTGTTCTACACTACACAATGTAGGTTTGTTTTCACACATGTCCTAATTAACAGAAAGCCTTAAATATGATTGCAGTCGACAATTCAATACTAAATGTAAGACTGCCTTATGGTTTTGTGTGGCGGTGATTTATGTTTAAATTTCTCGTTAGGTCATATGTTCGGATCTTGTTTAATCAACTTTAGTTTAGTGCAGCCAAATAGTGTTACTGGGCACTCTCAAATGGACAGATGGGCGGAGAGTTGAGCGCATTAACTGTTATTTAGTTAAGTTAAATTAGATCATAGCATATCCACATTTTTTCCCTATATGGCATATTAATCAATGAGATGATTTTAGATGAATTGAAGTGAACATATTGTACCGAATTGCAGAGAAAGTCAATCTAAATTTAATCGATAATAGATTGTTTATTTATTAGTGTCTTGAACGGATCTTTCCATTGGTTGGACTAACAAGAATCATTTTATGATATCGTTACTACTTATTAAGTTATCTTTTTAGCATTTAGTTTTTAGTGTTTCATTGTTTTGTCACTCTGTCGTTTGTTTCTGATTGTTGACGCGTTTGTTTGAGAATGTACAATGAAATCGGAATGATTTCTAGAGAAATCATGTCTTCAGTTTGTAATAAATATCATTTGTACTGAATACGGTGTTACTTAGTGTGAATAATGTTTGTAGACAATGGTGGACCTAAGGCAAATGTGTCCTAGTCGAACCTTACATATTCCACTTCGTTGCATCCATCATTTAGAACGTGAATTGCGAAAGACTGTTGAAATCTTGACTTTCAGTGGTTGAGTACGGACATTAGTGTAATGTCTTTATAATAAACTGTAAATCCTTCTTAGACGCTGCGAAACATGTCTTTTTATTCTCTCCTAAAATAGCCTAACTAACAGTCAACTCTTTTTTCTTTCAATCACCAGCTGTATATACCTGCTTTTTTATTGTTTCGGTTGATTTGTTGTCGAAAATATTAAATTGTTGATTTTGGCATTGAACTCTCCTTAATGTATAAGTGACATTCTAATTTTAAACGTGGCCTGATAATAACCAAAACACTCGAAATTGAAACATCAAATCACACTACCGCCTCATCTATTTCTGTTTAGTTAGCTGGGTGAAGTTTAATTAACCCACACAGATCGAGTGCATTAATCTGTATATTGTAAATTAGTTAACTATATTTGTTTTTTTTCTCTCAAAAATTCCTATATATATATATATATATATATATATATATATATATATACGCAAAGTACACTAATATACATATATAAGGACTTTCGTCTAAAGTTGAGTTAATAGTTTCACAGTATTTGGGCGCCGAGGAATGTATTTGTAAAATCTCAGAAAATGATTCTGAAGTAAATCCAACGTTTCGGCTGGCAATATGGTCCAAGTTTTTTTTAAAGGAAATATAATCAAACATCAGAATTATGGAATATAGTTAGGTACGTTGTTCTTCGGTTAACTGTTTACTAAATCGGTCTTCCAATCATGTTAATAATGTTTGACGTAGGTGTTTACTTTGGTGTGTATGAGACATGTGATAGTGTAACACAAAGTGTGTTAATATGAACCGATTGTTTGTATTCGTAAGTGGATCTGAGGTGTGAGAAGAAATTTCATTCACTATTTACTGCCTCTGATCGGTGAAAGTTTTAAAAAGAACATATAAACTTTTTATATATGATAAGAATATTATGTCTGATTATATTTCTTTGAACAAGCTTGGACCATGTTGCCGACCGAAACGTTGGATTTACTTCAGAATCATTCTCTGAGTTGTTACAAATACATTCTTCCTCCTTAATATACATATTTCTGAATATAAGGAATTGTTTTTTGATCAAAAGCTATCGTGATTACCACTTTTTTTTTACATTTGACACAAAGGTTTTTCGGCCTATGTAGCGTTTATCCTTCTTTTTAAGTAATAATAATAGAAATCACTACAACAGTTCCCTATAATTAATACATTTCTGTAAAATTTTTATATTATTCTTGTTTAAAGTTAACACCATCTGGTAAAATGTGTTATGTAAGCAAACCTTGGGTTGTTCGCTTTTGGACATGGGCTGAACCAGGTCCAATGACATCAGAATTTTTCTGTGAACATGGTTATTTTCAACCAGAATTATGGGAGATGCGTAATTCACTAACTTTAACTATCCCAGAAAGTATTTGGTGTAATCTTCATAAAATGTAAGTTATTAAACAATTATTTGAAATGTTGATTAGATAACTAGTTTATTTATATTTCCGACTGCATTTATCTATATTCTTTCATATATATATATATATATATATATATATATATATATATATATATATATATATATATATATATATATATATATATATATATATATAAAGTAAAAAGTCCACTCTAAAGCATTGGCTAACAGAGGAAACATTAATAACACAATGATGGAGTACAGTTTCGGTTTAATTGTTGTGTTTTTTTCATCAGAAATTACAAATCTATGTTTTCTGAAATAAATGTTTAGAAACTTGAGGTTACTTTATGGCTGTGAAAGATTACCATGAAGAATGGAAGAAATTAATAAGTTGCTTCAAGGGATTGCTCACGTAAGCTAATACCATAGATTGAGCAACGCCCAAGTATATGTAGAGGGTACCAGGTAAAAATGAAAAATTGTTAGTGAGGTAGTAAATATTCATCGAGTAAGATTATTTTAAAATGTATTACATATGCTTAACTGCAGCCTACCTACCTCGATGGGTAATTTTGTCGGACTTAGGAGTCGGTTTGAAGAAAGTTAGTGTCATTCAAACTGAAAAATGGCAAAAAATTTCCATGAATTTATTGAAAGTTGTGCTGTCATATTGTTGTGTTCAGAATACTTTGTTGTGATCCGTGCGATAATTGCAACCAGTGGATAGAGTTTCTGCTTGATATGCCTGAAAGCCGTTCATTATAGTATAAATTCATCCAATCTGTCTTCTCTTAGATCCAAAGTCCGAAAATCTCGCTGTCTTTTTCTTCCTATTATTATTATTATTATTATTATTATTATTATTATTATTATTATTATTATTATTATTACTGCGATTACTAATACTGTTAATATTTCTACTGCTCTGGGATTCGCCTTTAACAGCCTTAAAAATTGATTATCATAGGCTATTAATGTATACGAAAAATGCACTTGATTTTTTAAACTACTTACTTAATTACTCCTGTTATTTCTCGTGAAGGAGCATAGACCGCCCACCAGCATTCTCTATCCAACCCCGTCCTGGGTAACTCTTCCCCGTTCCTTTTCATATCTGCTTCTTATTCCCGACGTAATGTGTTCTTTGGCCTTCCTCTTTTCTGCTTAACTTCAGTATTCCAACTTAGTGCTTGTCTCGTGATGCAGTTTGGTGATTTCCGTAATGTATGTCCTATCCATTTCCATCGTCTTTTCCTAATTTCCTCTTCAGCTGGAAGCTGGTTTGTTCTCTCCCACAGAAGGCTGTTGCTGATGGTATCCGGCCAATGGATGTTGAGTATCTTGCGTAGACAACTACTTATAAATACTTGTACCTTCTTGATGATGGTTGTAGTAGTCCTTCAAGTCTCAGCTCCTTATTGTAGAACTGTCTTGACGTTTGTATTGAAGATTCTGACTTTGATATTGGATGATAGTTGTTTTGAGTTCCATATGTTCTTCAATTGAAGGAATGCTGTCCTTGCTTTGCTGATACTCGCCTTTACGTCTGCATCTGAACCTCATTGTTCATCGATGATGCTTCCCAAGTATGTGAAGGATTCTACATCTTCCAGAGTTTCGCCATCAAGAGTGATTGGATTGCTGTTCTCCGTGTTGTATTTGAGGACCTTGGTTTTGCCCTTGCGTATGCTGAGGCCTACTGATGCAGAGACTGCTGCTACACTGGCTGTCTTTATCTGCATTTGTTCGTGTTTTATTTATTTATTTATTTAATTTTTAACACATAGATATTGGTACAAGGAGGCACCAAATACATCTGTGCCACACAAATCTCATTTGATATCTGTGAGGGCTGTGATACTGCTTGAGTGCCCAAACCGGAGCAGGTTCATGCGCCATTTGTTCCCGCTGGATACTGGAGTCCATGTGCACCATTGGTTTGGAATCCGGTTAAAGCGCCGGACATTCGCTTTTCGTCCTCTCATTTTCGTAAACAACATCCCCACCACAAGAAGGCAGTGAGTAGGTCTTCCCTGGCAGAGACTGTATACACGTGGCCGTGTGAGAGAATTTGGAGAGGGAGAGCGGATTCTCCCCACTCTCGGCCGTACCAGGGCATTTGGGGGCACCTAGAAAATCACCTAGAAAAAAATCAATTATAAACTACACTCAATTAGGATTTCTATACTTCATCATACCATAATTAATGTTAATATAACATGAATTCACCTTATCTGTTTATCAACCTGTTTTTCAACGAAATTTTTAACGAGCTGTTTTCCTTGAATTTATTCAAGTCTTTTCTCCTACTTTAAATGCTTTCAAAATGCAATTTGCCAATTTTCTTTTGTTCTGCTAATTCCTTATTCATTTCTAGTAATCATGAGATCCTTTTTGTATGCAGTTTTTACTACTTTTGTGTACTTGTAGTTATCTCTAACTCATGTGCTTATGGATTGTATCTTGTCTGTTCATGTGCGTGTGTCTATTATTCGCTAAAAATCACTTGTTCTTATTGTTTTGTATGAGGAATAATAGTTGTTTGGATGAGCGAAAATCGATGAATAAAAGCTATAGTTTAAGTGGATTAAAACATCAATCAATCGACGCTGATAAAGTATTCACTCTTTAATTTTTTTTCTATTCAGCCAGTCTATAATTCTGTTATATCTAGAAATTAGATTCTTGCTATGCCGCGTACTACTTGAGCACTTGAACCCTCCAAGTCGCAAGTTAGAAGTCAGAAGACTAGTGGGAAGGAATCTTATTTCAAACAATGTCAAATATGGTACAAGACATTCAGGTATTTATAATTTTTAGTAAAAATGAAGTCATCATCACAGTTATCCACTCCCCGCATGCAGTGGTCTTTAGCATTTGTTCACACGTTGAGATTCTGGAATGTTCTTTTGGAAGATGATTGGATGGCATGTCTTCGGCTCTTTCCAAGCATCCTTGAGTTCATTGGACGCTGTCCCTACATATTCAATGCCTTATTTGATTGACGTCTATTTGTATAAATTTGTTTCTAAGGTTTGCAACAGTATTGTTCTGGATTCATTGACTTAGTTAATCTAGACACGTATTGTGTTTGTCTAGTTTATGGATTACAGTCACACGCAAGGCTAAATGAGACAGAAGTATGTTGAAAACAAATCTGGAGTGGACAAATCAAGATGTGCTATCATTTTATAGAGTGATTGTATGTTTAGGTAAGCTTCGCGGGGTGGATTATAGAATTTTAGGTTGGAATCGATCACGATATCGCTGTTCTATTAACTGATTGTCATTTTTCCTCAAAATATCAATCCTCAATTTTCCATTCGTCAATGTTATTTTAATTTCTTTCTGAATTATTTTCCGGTGTTTACTTTTCCACTGGTGGTTAAAATAATTAGTTCTCCTGCCGTTCCTATTTTGTTAACTTCCTCTTTCATTGTATTCAAATAAGATACATATTCCTGTTATATTCTAAATTGTCTTGGATTAATTCTTCTAGGATCCGACGTTCATATTCGAGCTGCGTAGACGTAATATCTATGTGTCTATAATTCAAATAGATAATGCTTACAATATGAATAAAATATATTTGTAATATCCTGTTGAGTATACATCTCATGATGTTGCCTACTATTTATATTTTTTAAAAATCTCTTATTTGCTTTATTTTTCTCGAAATTATAGGTTTGGTGGTCATGAAATTATTCAAGAATTAATCCCATGTAGTGATTGTTCTGATGCTATTTCAAAAAGACAGAAATATGAACTGTCAGAGATTATGAGGGTAATTATGATTTTGTGCATTTTTGTTGTTGAAATGATCATTGCTTTTTGGTGTTTTATTGTCAGAAGAAAAATCGACACAGCTCATATTGACAGATTAAAGATTATTTCACTAATTTATGAAAGTAATGTGTTACTACATATTACTGATCCCATGTACATCAACTATATTGTTTATCATTACATAAATACATAAACATTAGCACAATGAGGCAACGAATACATATGCGCCACACAAGTCACTTGATTTGTGTGTGAGCTATGATGCTGCCGGGGTGCTCAGACCGAAGCAGGTGATTTTCTTAGGGGATCACATCCGAAGCTTTCGACTAAATGTATGATCCACATGGCAGTAGAGCAACGTCAGGAGATCCAGTCCCAGGTTAGCCTGTGAACAATAGTTGGTTCATACTCCCTTTGTTCTCTCAGGATTCTGGAGCTCATGTGCATCATTGGTTTGGAATCAGGGTTTTCCAACTCCCTTAGGTTGATCTTCCGTACCGAACACCAACTTAGTTAAAGCGTCTCACATTCTCTTTTCGTCCTCTTAATTTTGTAAACAACACCCCCGGTGCGAGAAGGCATTGAGTAGGGCTTCCCTGACAGTGGCTGTATACTTGTGGCCATGTGAGAGCATCTGGAGAGTGAGAGCTAACACTCTCCACCCTCGGTCGTACGAGGGCATTTGGGGACCATAGTAAATACTATAAACTTAAATTCTGTTTCCAGTAAATGCTGCACTCCCGTCTGTTACTACTACCTTGATGTGCTGGTCGGGCTTGCCTATAGTGTCGAACCAATCGGGCTATATTGGCTGGAACAATCGTTACTTAAGATCCTACCATGCTAGGTAAGTCGGTTGGAGAGCGCGAAGACTAAAAGCAACAAGCCTAAGGTCTGAGGACGAAGTCGTACTGCTAGATGTACAGAGGTTTTACGGCAGTAAGGTGTTTCCCTCAGACAACCAGAATCACAGCAATGCTGTCTTGCCACAAATGAAGTGTGATGTTAGAAAAGTTTGACCCTAAAAATGTTTATCTCACCCTTATCTCACAGATATCCGTCTCTATTGGTAAGGTTCTGACAAGTACGGATCTAACACGGAAATTATCTACAAAAGGTCGTTTGTGACCACCCTCAAGCAGTTGTCCCTTGGACTTAGCGATCACACAGTCAGGTCACTAAGACAAACTCTAACTCATTTTCCTTTTCATGTACTTATAGAAGAACCCTTCCACGGTGTGGGAAACCGGGAATTAATAACAGTCCTCATACCTTTAACAGCACTCAAGACCACTGTATTCATAATCAATTTTCCTCTTCAATTCCTATTATTCCCCTACCTCAACTATCAACTCTATACTTCCTCCTCATGTGTCACCATATCCAACGATTCTAGTGCGCGAAATACTGTCCCAAATACACACTGGATCCTTCAACATAAATACCCTATGAAAAATTGGCCAACAGATCTCCTTGGCTAAAACTCTAGAATTTCGTACCATTGATGTATACTGTGTCTTCGAAACATGCATACAGGATCCTAGTATGGCCATTCACTTGACCTCACCTCGCCAAGACGCAGAGCCAAAGAGACACACCCGCCTTTTAGAATGGATCCCTGTTAACAGTCGCCTATGTGCTGTTCAGCTAAACGGCTTTGTAAGAACTCGTAAGGATATGGACATACGTCGTTGCCTTTTCGTCGTTTCTGCCTACTCCCTCACTGACTTCAGCCCGCATAAACTGAAAGATAAGTCTTACAGAAAGCTTTCTCAACTTCAGAAAGCAAAACACTTAGACTTAGTACTCATAGCAGGTGACTTTAATGCCCAGATAGGTAGCTTAAACCAAACAGAAAGACATTTAGGTGGGTATTTTAATATTCAGGCACAACGAACAGATAATGGTGATCGTCTGCTGCAACTGTGTTCAGATAATCGTTTATTTTTAGCAAACACTTATTTTAAACATGAGAGGCATCATCTAACATGGCGACTCCCTGCACCAAACCAACGATAGACTCAAATAGACCATACTGCCATCAGTCATTGTTGGTGATGCTCAATAGAAGGCTGCCGCTCGTTCTAGAGTACATGTTTAGACTCTGATCATGGTCTAATACGAGCATGCATTTGCTTGCGCCTCACTGTACGCAGAAAAGCCACATCAAGAAGACCCATTAGAGTTGAATTCAGTGACGAGAAAACCAAAAGTCTATTCCAGAAAACAACTGAGGTCATACTTAGGCAGTTCGGGAAGCGAAGCTGACCCAGATGTTGCTTGGAACGAAGTTCAAAAGACTATAGTTAGTCTGAAACGAGGAAGAGCAGCTGGTCCAGATGGATTCGCTCCAGAGGTCTTTAACTATAGTGGTCCAGTTTTGAGATTAGTTTGACTAATATCTCAGCTAAAATCTGTGAGTTGGACATAATCCCATCTGACTGGTCGCAATCGTTGATTGTCCTAATATATAAGAAGAGGTCAAAATCATCCTATGATAAGCAGAGGGATTAGTTTAACTAATATAGCATATAAAATACTAGCCTCAATAATTATCGGACGCCTAAGACTCGTGAACTACAAACACGAGAAAATCAGACTGGCTCCAGACCTGGTCGTGGCTACATCGACCACATATTCACCATTTGTCAGGTTCTAGAATATAGGCATGCTTATCGGCGTCCAACAATGGCGGTCTTTCTTTACTTAAAAGCAGCATTTGACTCGTTACACCCGTAGAGGTTCTGTGGCAGTGTCTGTCATTGAAAGGCGTACTTCAGAAGTACATAAGCCTTTTGAGGGCTCTTTACTCGAACACTACTAGTCGAGTGAGAGCTTACAGCGAAATGTCATCTGATTTTGCAACCTCAAGTGGTGTCTGTCAAGGCTGTCAACTATCTTCATTTTTGTTCGACTTCATCATCGACATACTGATGGGAATAACGTTCTCGTGGACTGGATTTCCAGGAATTGACCACATACTAGAATGTCCACTTACTGACTTAGAATACGCAGATGACATAGTCCTGTTTGGTGAGGACGATGATAAAATGCAGAGTCTATTGGTAGCACTGAGCAACGATGCCAGAATATTTGGGATGCGTTTCTCTCCCTCTAAATGCATGTTACGTCACCTAAACTAAGGATAGGGAATGAAGTAGTCGAACGCGTCGACACATTTATTTTGAAAATTTGATCAGCCCTGATGAGTTGGTGTCTGAGGAAATCTCATCATGGATTCGAAAAGCTCGTTTGGCTTTTGTCAACTTACGTCACCTTTGGCGAAGGTGAGATATCCGTCTATCAATTAAGGGACGAGTATATTTAACCACAGTGTATACACTCTTGTCTCTGCTTAATCTGAGAGATTAAAATTACTTTATATCATTCTTTCTCCCTATATCGATCCTTATATGCAACCTTTTTTTTATATATTACTATCATTGAAGTAACTGCCTCTATGAATTTGGTGTTCATCTTGTTGTGCTAATAAGGTGGTGGCATATATTGCCTGGTCCTATATTGTAGATGACTGACTCACTGATTATACGTCAATTAAATTAATGTTTTTCAGCAATAAATATCTCAATATTCTATCGTCCATGACAATGTTCAATTCATCATCTTAGAAAAAATTAAATTACTAATGAGGGATCCCCCTTCATCTTCGTCTGGACGAATAGAAACTAGCTGTCAAACTCCATAGTGTCTCTTTACTGATATTAATACATGTAGACAATTTTAGACACATAGTCGACTGAAAAAAAAGTTTAAATTTCGGATAGAGGGGATACTAAGCACTCCAGACAAAATTCACAAGCTTGCCACTCGGGACGATCTGCAATCAATCAATAAACACGTCAAAATCGATCCAATTTATTAAACAATTATAAAAATCATGCACAAATATAAGATCAACAATCAAGTCAGAGGAGGAAACATTCAAAATAAATGTGTAGACAACAACAAGTTAAGGGTCAACAGTAACCAGTCAAAGTCAAAGTTGACAGGACAAACTATCAGTCATAATATGTTGAGAAATTTGAATTCATCACTTCTACGTGAAGAATGTGTTGATGATATCGTTTCGAAGAACAATGAAAGTTTTATGATTAAATCATCCAACTAAGAGAAAATAAAACTCCGCTAAAACAAAATAAGTACTGGCCATATGTAAATCTATTCTAGTTGTTTACAAAACGGATGCTCCATTCATATTGATTGTTACTTATGAGTATCATAATTAATCTAAAATATTCATTTGGAAACAACTCATTTATTTCCAACGAATATGTTTGTTTTTGGTTAGCTAAAACTTTTTTCACTTTTCATGAATTATAACTATTATAGGTTAGTTCATCGGTCACTCCATCGTCCACAACTTATGCTGTCAGTAAAAAATGGTTGGATGTATGGCTTCAATTTGTCAAAGGACAAATATGGGGTAAGTTCAACTGGGAAATATCTGAATATTTATAACGAAGTGTTCATTTTCTCATCGTGTTCACATGTATGAAATAACCAATAGCTATTTCTTAAGTCACTTCATTTATGAAGGTTGTTTGAATCTTCTCGTTGTTAATGTTAAGAACTGAGATTATTCAGTCATCAATAATGGGAAGAATAAAACAACATTTACAAATGAATTAAAACTTCCCGCCATTGCAGAACCCGGCAGTTATCTGGACTAAGTAGTTAAGTATACAATGCGTTTGAGTTTGAAGCAAAATGTACTGCGTTCGAGTCTCAACATAGGCATCAACATGGTTGAAGGCTTACCCAGCTGACTAATCTCTAATAAGACAAGACCATCATCCAGTGCTGTCATGTTCTCATCGGTGTTCTTACTTAGACCAGTTCATTGTTTTAATTAAATTTAAAATACCTTGTTCATACTGAAAGGTTAACAAATCAATGACTATAGTAATTTGTATTGATATCAATACCATGTCACAATGATATAATCACTTATCACCAGTTTTATAGAATCAAAAAATCCTGTGACTTAAGATCATTAATCAATAATGTTTCCCAATTGGTTGTGCCAGTAATTCGTTTTCTAACATAATCATACTACTTATGAGTAGCCAAACTGTTCCTGTTGCGCTTCTTTCTCACCCAATGCGCGATATAAACTCTTCTCGTTACGTATATTCACAAATAAACAGGATTATCACTAAAGATTTCTTTTACTGACTTTTATAGGGTATTAGAGTAGTTTGTTTAATTCTGTTCACTCAAAATATGGGATTGTGATTTAGAAGAATGATTTTTATTGGAGTTCTTGGTTTATTTCGGAATGCTTTTTCACAATTATCAATTATACGTTACTAAAGGTTTGCAATTCCCGGTTGCTGTATATTCATCCTGGGTGGATTCTCTCGTTAGAACGTCATAAGTTTTAGTATATTTAGTATGTAACTAGCAGTGGAATCCAAGACGCACATTTCGTCCTACACGAGATTCGTCAGCTGAATATACTTGCATCCCAGTGTTGATGTCCTGCACACTGAAGTTCAGACTTGGCGCCTTTAGTTCTAATATTTCAGCTTGTATTTTACTGAGTCATACATTTCAGATAGACACTAATTCAGTCAGTCGCAATGTAGAACCTAGTACATATGTACATCGGTTAAATTTGCCATATCTCATTAGCACAGCAAGATAAAGCAAAATCCCAAAGCAGTAGAGATATTGACAGTATCAGTGGCGATTGAAAATATTACGGATCGAGGATACGGTTCAAGGCGATATCAGATGACGAAAAAAACTTGAAATATAGTTATGACGAATTCGTAAGCTCAGAATTCGGTGGATACAGAGAACGGATGCACCTGCGCTATTGCAAACGATTCTGAGCCATGTCATTCAAATTCTCTGACTGTTGTTTACTATGACCATATGGACCCCAACCAGATAGTCTGCACCTATTTACATGGCCAAGTCCAGTTGTCAGTGACTCTATAAATTGATGCTTTCTTCCACCCTACTCCTGCTTCAGAAAACATCACACTCTAAGTATGCAGTAGTTGGACATGCGTATCACATGTCCCAAACACCCCAGTTGATAAACATTTACTTCCTTATCAATCGATTCGCCATCCCTACCTATTAGCTTATCTGCAACGCAGACATTGCTTACTTGGTGGTCCCCGAATACACTACAAGTTTTTTGTAGATACGTGTGATGGAATACAAGTAACCTACGAATATTCTTTACTCTTAAGGGTTATTTTTCACATTCGTAAAGTAGAACGGAGCGAACTGCTGCTCAGCAAACTCGCCATTTGGTTGGCAGATGGATATTTTGCCTATGCCATGAGTGACTCAAGTTGGCAGAAGCCAATCGAACCTTCTGAATCCGTGCCGAGTTTCCGTCAGATGGCGAACCATCTGGTCTAATGAGTGGAAGCATTCGATGTGTTCAACTTCTTCGCACCGTGAACGGATGGGAAAATCCTTGAATAAATAGACAGGAATAGCTAGAATGCTTGAATGCTTGGAACATGAGAAGAAAGGGTTTTTATGTTATACTGTCTCTTCTCTTTTGATTAATTGTTATTATCATCATCCATTATCTCTAATTTTAGGAACAATATTTGTCAGGTATCGACCTTCTGCTCACAAAATACGTTGCAAATATTAGGTCACAGTTTCAAACCTAAGTATTAATAACTAGTTAGACTTTCTCGTTGCTGATCTCATCACAGATGATTTTTTTCATATATTTAAAAGTTTTGGTACAGTTATTTTTACTAATATGCATGACTGAAAGTAGCAAGAGTACCTATTCTTAGCTGAATAACATTCGTTACCATTATCTCAGATAGAAATGTTGTGCAAGCTTTTAATTGCCCCTGTGACCATATTGTTAGCTGCCGATCATCTATTTAAGGTCCGCGCGATAAGTGCGGCTTACTGATTAGAAAGACGTTGTGTGATATAGCTTGAAATCATTCAAAATTGCTGCGATGCCATCACTTTTTATCTTTCTTCCGATTTTGAATTCCAATACCTCTTCAAACATACCTTTACACTATCTTTTTAAACGATATTCACAAGGTTTATTCTTTTTATCGTTGCTGTTGAATTATTTTGATTTGTTTTATTTTCATCTGTTCATGCTAATGTAGTTTGGAGACTCGGGCCAGCACACATCTGTGCCTGGTTCCATGTTCATGAAGTCTGTCACTCTGTAACTTTGCTCGACTATCCGATTTTGCACTCTTAAATTATCACTAGGTGATTTCGACCATTCCTTGTAAACTAGTAGAAATAAATTAACAAATATAGTCTTTTGTTCTCAAACTGATTGATTTACACATTTGTTTGCACAGTATTGTGTCTTTTTCTACACATTTGAGCTCATCAAAATTTTTCGTTGAATGCTTCAAAACGAATCCAACTGACTGTTAATCTCTAATTTAAATTCTTATTCATATACACTCTGTTTTACCGTTTTCGTTAAGCGTATGGATCTGTTATATATTGCTGATGAGTCTTCTGTTAATGGAATACATTTTAACACTAGTGCAAATGGATTTCTGTTGTATACGCAGCATTCTGTTAATTTTAATATTGTTCTATGCATATACATGTTTCTCTACTACAGAAGCTCCAGGTCCAATTGATAATTCCGACATTATGCCATGCAATAAATCCCTTTATTCGTATCGTAACAGTGGATCATTTAATTATCCTACTCTTTCATCAATACCACTTGGTAATTACGAATGTGTTTCTGCTGAAGTATGGAGTCTTCTGTTCAATATATATGGTGGAGGTCCGACAATATCTGTATGTCAACCTACTTATTCATCATCGATCAATAATAGTATAGATGAAAATCAGATGGACGATTTGTCAGATCACAGTTCATCGGATCAATTTTCACAAAAATGTTCATCAAATTCTACTCCTAATGAACAGTCACCTCTTAATTCAGACCGAATTGATGAACAAGTATGCAGTTGTTTTAATGGTATTTTTGTTTTAAGAAATTGATTACTGTGTAGAAAGATTTAGTTCATTTTGCCGAATAAATTAGCTAAAAATCAATTGTAAACAATTATGGTATTCAAAGCAATTAGCCTTTTTGATAAATTTGCATAGTGTAATAAGACGACTACAATAATGGTATACATTATTTTTCAGTTTAACTAAAGTATACTCTTTTTCTGGTCTTAGTAAGATCGTGCTTTTTCCCTTTCTCTTAAATTTTTTGTTCATAAATCATGATCAATTAGACATATAATGTGGTGTACAAAATACGTACACACAAAATTTTGTTTGTGCAAACTATATTTTTTCAATGTACAAAGTCAAGGCTTCAACACTCGGCAACTAAGTCTCAGGTCCGAACCCCATTTAACTTCGGTTTGCGCAACCAGGTAGTGTATCATTAACCCCCATACTCAAAGTGTGACTCATACCCAAGCACCTAGTGGATGAGTTTGTTTGTTTATCGTTAATTGTTTCCTCACCCACTTGCGTTTTACAACAACAGGCTATATAATATCATCAGATCTCACACTAACCAATATGGTTCAAGCTTAAGCAATGCATTATTGCTGTACTTGACAAATTAACCTGTTGACATCTAAAGAGTACGTTGCTGCCTACCTAAATGAAAATGATGTTATAACCAGTAACAATGTGTTTAAATTCATTTTTGTATTGGTTTTTTGTTCTTCACATTGATGTTTAGGACTGCAATTGATCAGTCTCTTATTGGCATATGAGCATGCTGTTCGAATTGTCTTAATTCACACGCACTATGAACATAGATGGATGGTGGCTAGCAGTGGGATCCAGGACCCACGTTTCGTCCTATTTGGGACTCGTCAGCTGGATGTACCTGCATACCACAGTTGATGTTCACTCCGGGACTTGGTGTGGATAACACGATGGCGTTTGAAGCAGATGGTACTAGGTCCGAGCCTCGAAGTGAAAATCAACCCCGGAATGCAGGCACATCCAGTTAACGATTCCCGAATAGGGCCAAATGCACGTCAGAATGTACTGCACAGCTGTTTTACTCTTAGTGTGTGCATCCACGCCTTTGTCGGCGATCGAATGGAAGAGCTTCAGATTCCCTGGCAAGCACTTAATCATTATATGACTGAATTGGTCTTCACTGATTTATTACGTGTGTATTTGTTATCGATACTTAATATTATTCACTGCTTCTCCTATCTTTTTAAAAAAAATTTTATCATTTGAAAGGACCGAAATAATTATTTGACTAATGGTAACAATCATATGAATGGTGGTATCTCTAACAATTTGGATTGCTCTGACAATAAATCCCATTTGAATCATTGGAATGAAATGGATAAAGAAATAAATTCGACAAATCTCCCTATAGATTCAATCTTATCCAACGGCACTAATGATGATACTATTCATCATATTGAAATATACACTCAACAAAATGGTCATCCAGTTAAAAATAAATTAACTCAATCCACTGAATGTTCACAATTAAATGGTGATTGTTATCCATCATCTAGCAAAACATTGAACATGTTCAATGGTTGTTGTTCTATTGTCACAGACTCTAAATGTCAACTGAACAATCATCATCCTAATGTTCAACAGAAATCTACCAATAATAGTCTAACTGTTAGTAAAGGCGCTAGGACCGGTTATTTTGGTGATTATAATCCATTAGATTTGGTGAATCATAAAAATGTCTCCAAAGTAGAATCTTAGTACCAACAGCAATAAGTGCATCAAATGAAATCAAAACATGGTGATCAGCTTTATGTAGACACTGTCGAATAGTTCTTACATAAAACTTAAACTTTTTGTTTTCAGTCCATTTGTTGCTTTTATTACATTTAATTAATAAATAAAACTGTGATTCTATGCATTGTTTTGAAATTTTCTTCTTAATTGATTGGAATGGTAATCGTTATTATGTTATGTTTTCAGAACCAAGTGATCTTTCCTTGTGACTCAGGTGATGGTTCTTTTCTTTTCATCCTTACTTTATAATATGCAAGCAATGTATGATTGTAATTTGTAATTATTTCCTCTTTTGTGAGTTGATGAGTTTATGTGTATGTTTCGTGGAAATTACTGTTAAGAATGACAACAGCGTTGAACTAAGCAAACACACAGTGTTTGTGTATGTATTTGACTTGTAATTTTATGTGTTTTATTCTTTCATCTAAGAAGTACTAACTTCTCTCTTCAAAACTGTATATTGATTGGATTCGAACTGTTGTCTCATTTGAACAATTTATTTATTTTATCCTTTCTTTTTGACCCATTTATATATATGTATACATCAGTAATTCTTCATTAATTTGATATTAAGGGTAGTGATAATTTTAAATATTGTTATTCATCGTCTTCTTTTTCTGTATGTGTATGTATACACACTCTGGTATAATATTTTGCTTTTCATTCATATGTGTATAATTTCATCTGCATAGTAGCCATCCATTCATCCGTTCATATTTATTCATTTATAATACATAATAAAATCATGAAAAAAAAGTATCAACATCACTTGTTCTTTATGTGACCTATTTCATTGTTGTTATTATTATTGCTATTACTACTCCTAATACTACTACTACTACTACTACTACTGTTATTGTTGATAAGTAGTAGTGTCTAGTGTTACTGATTCATTTCTACTCAGATATTTTCTATCACATTAATGATGAAATTCTTCGTGTAGTAGTAGATGTAAAACTGTATCCCATTTGTTTTCTTCTCTATTTAGATGGATATTAAACTTGTCACGTGTGTATAAAAGCACTAATATTATTGATTTTTTATTTCCTGTTATACATTAAGTAATTTATATGCATATAATGTTATTCATACACTCGGAATAATGAATATATCTATGTCTTCATGTGGGTACTTATTAACTTATTGCTTGTTTAATTTTGTAAATTATTTTTAAAGAAAAAAAAATGTAAACAAAGAAGTTATGCACAAATATTTTCTTCTTGTTTCTATGTACATTGCCTTGTTTGTTTGTTTGTTTATAATTATATTCGACTTGTATTAATATTATTATTATCACTGTTTATTTCTGTTATGATCATCAACATCACAGTGCGGTTTTCATAGGTCACAGTAACATAGATCTTTTGTCCCACTCTTATTACTATTATTATTCTCATAGATTGTCAAGAACAAATATGTGTTTATGGTATTTGTTGCAAATTTCTCGATGTATATTCACTGAGAGATAGGAAGAGATGTGATAGGGTTATCGTATTCCTAATGGTTGGTTTATTTATTTGTAAAATATTTCGTTGTCTTCTTCATGAATTATGATAAGAATGTTGTTGTTTAGTTTTATTTTATTTTGTTTCAACACATAAACATTGGTATAAGGAGGCATCAAATATATATGCGCCACACCATATTTGTGCGTGTGGGCTGTGATACTGCCCGGGTGCCCAGACCGAAGCAGGTGGTTTTCTTAGGGAGCCATACCCTGAGCCTTTGATCTAAAGGTCTGATCCACAAGGCGATGGAGCATCGTGAGGAGATGCATTCCCATGGTAGCCGGTGACCAACTATCGGTTCATACGTCATTTGTTCCTTTAGGATACTGGAGCCCATGTGCACCAGTTGTTGTTTAGAAAGAAAATGAGCTGCTCTCAGAGGAAATCATTCATCTCGTAGTAGACAAACACCCTTATCATTTCAAACGAATATAAATTCATATATGTATTGAGATGATTTAAGATACTAGATTTGACGTTTTATGAAAATCTTGAATGAAAAGTGCATTGTAACTTTGTTTATTTCGAAGGTGTATTTAGAAGAATACGGGGTTGGACACATAAGAATGTATTTACTTTTACTGGTGTATGTCACCAAGCCTCCACTCATTAAATCACTAAAAAATATAGCTGTACAGGTACATTGACATCATTAGATGCTGGCTCTGTGGTCTAGAGGTTAGGCTTTCGCGTCCGAGATCGAAGGTCCTGGGTTCGAGTCCCGTATGTGGGATTGTGGATGCTCTTTGCTGACGAGTTTCACACTAGAACGAAACGGCCTTCCAGTGCTTCCAAGTATTCAATAGTGGTGAAGCGTTTATCGACTCATGGTTCAACTATTAGTGTGTACAGTTTTAGTAAAGGTTATTATCAGCAAGGAAATTTCGTTTTTTTTGGATTGTTTCTATTTCTTCAATGGCATAGTGGATTTCGTTTGTATTTTTAGGAATTTCGGAAATCTGTGTTACACACCTAATAAAACTAGTACCGTTGATCATCATCGAAAAATTACTCAGTAGCTAGTGTAAAATCAATCTTTTTGGAGTTAAATTGTGAAGCTTTAGACAGTTTTTTTATATATATATATCATTCTTTAAGTCTTATTTTACACATGAACTATCTTTTAAGTATGTTTATTCGACATTATATTGTTTGAGTAGATAGGTCTGTTAGTCAGTCATGTTTTTATTTTAATGATAATCTACTCTAAACATAAACGGTTGGACTGTTTGCTTCTTATTAAATAATCGTCTTACAGTTGGATATTATCATCAAATAAGTTTGGTCAACAAACTGTTCTTATCAACATAAACAACTATTGAGCTCAATAGCATTGTATCTTGTTTTGTACTGTTAAATAGTTCATTAAACTTATTAAGATCTGTTTTAATTGTATAAACTGGTGACTCATTGCCTAATTCAACGAATCGATTTGAAAGTAAAGTTTAAATTATGAATGTATGTATTCGTTAAGGTTCTCTTTGACTGTAGTGTATGCTACTTATGTCGACAGATATAAGTAGTACTTAACACCAATCGGAAGTGGAAAACGTGGTATCAGAGGGCTATGAAAGTTGATTTAAAGCAATTAGAAAGAAATTGTGAATCAGAAGTATCATACAAAATGTGGAAGAAAAGTGATAAAAATTTGAAAATGACGTAGGACTAGACACGCATGAGATTGATCACCACCCAGTGATCAACCAGTTGTGATAACATCTCAGTCCTACAGGAGGTTAGTCGCGGCTCGGATAGCTCAGTGGTAACGTCTCTGACTGTGAAGCTAGGTGTCACGAGATCGAATCCGCCAGGGAGCACCAGTTCCCTCAAGATTACAGGTACACCTTGCTGACGAGTGCTAAGTAGCACGAAACCCGGGTCCAGGGTTTCCTGTTGACTACCTCCAACCACCATCTAAATCTCAATACATAGTGCCCACAGTGTCGAGTCACCTAGACTGGTGGCCACATTGCAACATGATCGATAGCATTCGATCTGCACTAATAAGGACTGGACACGCATGACATTGATCACCACCTGGTGATCAATCAATTGTGTTATTAACAAAACATTCTACACATGAAAGGTCATTATCAAGGAAAAACAAGATCCATGCCTCATCCAAAACCTAAAAGACTTGAGAGTGATTGCGTCACATCCCACTGTGTTTACTTATTTAAATTTGTGTGATCACACGTACATAGGGAGGAGCAATCATGATCTCCAAATTAGGTTATCTGAACATATACCTAAATGGTTGCAACAACAATTAAATTTAAGTGACCCAATAAGAGTAGATGATAAACACCTATCATCCTCTATTGCCAAACATTTAGTTGAAACAGGTCATAAAATTGGTCGTAACACGGCATTTTCGGTGTTGTACAAAAGCGTTAAATGACGTATACTATGGTCTACCGAAGCCATAGTCACACGAAATTTCAAACTCCATTTGTGTATTAAAAAACAGTTTGTTTTCACCTCAAACTTACCGTGGTAATATTAGCTTATTATTCAGCGTGATGAGTTTTCATATTATTTTGATTATCATAGTTTCCTCCTACCCTCTGTTCGACCTTTTATTTTTATGTTTTTAACTTGTATGATTGTGATCAGATTGTTAAAAATCTATTGCGCTAATATATCACAAAGTTCTGATACTCTTCGTCTTCGTACTTTAGATTTCCGAATACTATTAATGGTGCAACAACTAGCTTTAGTAAATAAATACCGCTAAGAAGATTATCTTCTTCACAGAATAATCCCTACTTTCTACAAATGAATTTCAACATTTCTTGGTATCTTCAACGAATAAAAGTATAATTATCTTCATAACTAATTTCTAGTCAACAGGAAGCTCTAGACTTAGACCTTATGCTAGTTTGTATTCTTCGACAACGCGTACCTGCGATTTTGTGGTAATTAGTGCTGACTGTTTGGTTCGAAACCGTATCATCACTGAGCTATTATATTAGTTATGGTCAACAGATCAGATAAATATGGCATTGACAATTACTCAGTGATTTGTTAATCATAATTAATGTCACTAAAACTGTATTCAATCCTATTTATGGATTTTGTTATTTTCTTCTATATGATCACATGAATTACAATTGTGATTGAACTACAATATTTTTCGGCACAGCAGTTCTTGAATTTAATCGTTTCATTTCACTATTTGGTATCATTGACCAGTCGAAACATTTAAATTCTGTAATCGTTTTGGCTTGAAATCTTTTTCTCAAATTTTCTTCAAATATTTCAATTTCTTTGTCAGGATTCGTTGGAGATTGGACTAGTTTTTCCTCAGTTTCTGCTTGAATAGGTACATTTCTTTTCCTAGGATTTACATAAAAATAGATTACAGAGATTGTTTGTTTGGAATAACTATATTTATACAGAAATATTTCAAATGAACAATTTACGATTGGTTGATCAATTTTCATTTCTAAATGAATGTTAGTAAAATCTGGGAACTATACAGTAAATACTTCATTTGCAAATTGTCAAACAATCGTCTCAGATTTGATTGTTCTTTCCTTCTTACATCAGTCATTCTCTATTCTCGTCCTGTTTTCTTTCGATCTTCTTAACCTTCTGCCGCCCGTTATTTCATTTTCGATTGATGATACATACTATTTACATCCATCGACACACCACAACTGTATAATGACAGTATTGATAATGAGTTCTATAAGTTAGGATAACACAACATCCTCATTCTGGACTAAAAATATTATTCATTAATGCGACACTTAAAATTTTTTATAATTAAATTGTGGACAATCTTTAAGAAAGCTATATATATATATATATATATATATATATATATATATATATATATATATATATATATATATATATATATATATATATATATATATATATATAAAGTGCGTCGACAACTTTACTTATCTTGGAATTCTGGTCAGCCCAAGTGTTTTGGTATCTGACAAAATCTCTGCACGTTTGGTTTTTGCCAACTTACGTCACCTATGGCGAAGGTGAGATAACCGTCTATCAATTGAGGGACGAGTATACTGCGCGACAGTTCGTTCTGTTCTACTGTACGGTTGCGTAACGTGGGCATTAAGAGTAGAAGATACTCGTAAGCTACTAGTATTTGATAACAAATGTCTTAGAATTATTACTCGCATCTACTGCGATCACCGATTAAGTAATAGTGAGGTTAGACGCAAGGTATTAGGGAATGATGTTAAGTCAGTTGGTAAGGTTGTGAATCTTCACCGACTGAGATGGTTGAATCACGTATTACTCATGCTCAACCACCGATTATTACGATGCGCAATGCTGATTAGTGTTGGGGATGGTTGGAAGGAAGTTAGGGGCTGTCATCAATCCATAAATTCACTAACTTCTAGTCTGAGCCATGTTGGTAGATGCAGACTACTTGGTTGGTGTCCGCGTGACTTTCGTAGCCAGTGGTTGGAGACTCTTGGTGACATGGCTCAGAATCGATCACAATGGTGTGGGTATATACACTCTTTGCACTCCCTTAAACCGTGAGATTAAAATCACTTTATATATTTCTACCAACTAATTCTTTCTTCCTGTGCTATATCTTTATATGCAATCCTTTTTTATATATTACCACCATTGAATTAACTAGTTTATGAATTTAGTGTTCATCTTGTGCTAATGTGGTGTGGCTGCTTGGATCGATACATATATGTGCGTGGTCCTACGTTGTAGCTGACTGACTTATGATTATTTTAAAGTTTTATGGAAGGAACAGCGAAAATTAAGAGTGAAATTAAATTTTTTTTTCAAAGAATAGAACAAAAACTGTCTCGTGAAACTGATTTGTACATATTTTTTTTTAAAAACATTATATATAGGTTTATTTAAGCTCAAAAGATACTCATTATTGGATATTATTATTAGTCAAGAAAACAGTATATCAAGAAGAGAACAAAAATAGAAATGTATTGATGGTAATTTTGTATATGAAGAAAGGTTACCTAAAGAGCTGAAGGAAAATAAGTTATATTTATCATTGGTTAATGCAGGATCAAATCCCATGAATAGCATCATGCTTCTAAAGATAGAAAATAATCCCTACTTATAAGTTCTAATTAACATTAAAACATAGGATATACGATGCCTATTAATTGAAAGGATTCAATCATCGTTTAGAACTAACAAAACATAGGTTATTACTCAATAATCATTGTAAATGTTTGACAAATAAGTCTAATTCCTTTTGGTGTTTGAATATAGATCCATTAAAGCAACATATTTATGAATCAAACTATTTCAAATTAACTCCAGTGGAATTAAAATTCCTCTGGAATATTTGATCATAAAAAGAAAGACTGGTAACAGAAGTTCAACAGTTAAGGTTGAATCTAATTTAACGTGAAACGATAAAATAAAATGCGGTCAGTTAAGCCCTGACACTTATTGATTAGGAAATTATTTTATTATTTTTATTTGTACACATAGATATTAGTACAAGGAGGCACCAAATACATATGCGCCACACCAATTTCATTTGATTTATGTGAGGGCTGTGATACTGCCTGGGTGCCCGAACCGAAGCAGGTGGTTTTCTTAGGGGATCACACCTGGAGCCTTCGACCTGAAGGTCTGATCCACAAGGCAGTGGAGCAACGTTAGGAGATTCAGTCACATGATAGCCGGTGACCAACAATTGGTTCATACGCCCTTTGTTCTCTCAGGATCCTGGAGCCCATGTGCACCATTAGTTTGGAATCAGGGTTTTCCAACCCCCCCTAGGTGGGCTCTCCGTGTCCACCAATTCAGTTAAAGCGCCGGACATTCGCATTTCGTCCTTATAATTTTGTAAACAACACCCCTGGTGCAAGAAGGCAGTGAGTAGGACTTCCCTGACAGTGGCTGTATACTTGTGGCCATGTGAGAGCATCTCAAGAGGGAGAGTGGACTCTCTTCACTCTCGGCCGTACCAGGGCATTTAGGGGCAAATATTTACGCCTAATTTCCATTTTCATATTCCTCTGCAAAATATCTTGAATATTAACACTGAATATCATTCACTCTTTTAATTTAATAACAAAAAGATTGATTACGTTTCTTATTACTTTCGACGAGCATATTTGTAAGGGAAATTATTTGTTTTCCTGTCAGCTCATAATCACATAGTTCCTATTACTGGGTTAGATTAAACTACATATTCTTTAACCTATTCAACAATTGTATTATGATATAGGATATTGGATTTTATTTCTAGGTGAATATTAGCTAAGTGGATAACACGATGGCGTTTGGAGCGAACGGTACTGGGTTCGAGTTCCAGAGTGGATATCAACTCTGGGATGCAGGTAAATCCAGCTGACGAGTCCCAAATAGGACGAAGTGGTGCGCGTCCTGGATTCCATTGCTAACCACTATCCATCTTTGCTTATAAGGCTTGTGACTTGAGGTAATATCAAGGCAATACGCTTAGTATTTACATATACCGACAAGAGACTGATCAATTGCAATCCTAAATAACAATGGGAAGATACAAGTAAACAACACCAATGAATACTAGTTGTATTTTAGTGACTTGACAGTGTGTAAGGTAACCATAGTCTTCATGATGACATTCTAAAATCTGGATACATTCCATACAAAATAACCTCTGAAGTTATCCAAAATGTTTTTACTATTCGCTAAGAATGTCATATTGAGCACTTTCATTTAGCGCGTAAATGCTGCATATCAGAATGTATTTTTCCCCTCAATCTCTAACGTTGGCCACGTGTTTTTCATCCGGGATATCTAATTGCTCTACACTAGATACTTTTATAGCAGCCAACTACAATGAACAGTCATAACTCTATCAGGCTTCGACCAACGGGCCTAAATGTGTTGCGTCAAACATTTTACCTTCCAATCACACCAAATTAACATCCATCAGCACACAGTTCCAACTTCAGTTAACTCATAATAATTTTTAATAAACGAAACAAATCCAGTACTTCACGGTTTTCAGTGATTGCCTAACTAAAATCACTTCTCTATGTAAATTATCTTGCTCTCCTAGATCAGTTGTGTGATTGAATGTGAACATGATGTCGGTTATTTGCAAGTAATGATTCAACTCACTAAATAGTTAGGGTTAAAAGTTCAGTGAGATTTACATTTTAAAAATAATCATTATTGATTTTGTTTAGCAGTACAGGGGAATTTTCTGTTGGATTTACTTACGGACACTTTAAAGGATAATACAAGAAAGAAAGGAGCGGATCAGAAAAAAAACTGAGGAAGATGGAACGCAGACGTAACCCGATCATCGGGCTTCAAAGAGACCTGAGAAAAAAATCATATTTTTTTCCTTAAAGAAGGAAGGTGTTGTGGAGTTCGAAAATATCCCTCAACAAAGTTTCGTGAAGCCGATAAAAATCCAAGATATGTTTTATTTAATCAGCATCGAACAGATGCCTCCCAGAAACACCTAGAAAAATGAAGGGTCATGTGTCGTTTTTGACTGGATAATTACCCATGCCCTTACTATATTTAGTATGTTTTCCCGAAAGTTCTAGACAGCCAAGGTCGTAAGGACTATAAGTTTACTCCATTTTTGTACTTAACCTCCTACTCCTAGATCGCTTTTTTTCTCCGTTGTTCAAGTTGAAGTATTGAATTTGTCTGGAGTTGTGCGAAGTAGCTAGGATGTCAGCAATAGCAAACCTATCGATTTTCATAGAAAAGCAGCACTATGTGGTCATGTGTTGTGACAATGCTGAAGCTAAATAAAACTATCACAAGATTAAATCTTCTATGTTACTAAATTGGTCAACGCAATTAATCTCCCTAGCAGTAGTATTACAATGATTAAGAATACTCAGTCGTATCTCGTGTAATTAATACAAAGTAACAGTGTAGACATAGATAATCACGACTAAGTTTCTTTTGAAATGTCTGTATAGTACGACAATAATAGCTTACTGAGCTATGAATCACTTCAACTCTATTACAATGTTCATGTCTACACGATTGATTCGTCTAAACTATAAAGAGCCTCAAATATAAAGTATCAATTAATCAATTCATAAAAATTTTTATGTGGACTAATTATGGGAGTAAATAATGAGTTCCAAAAAATACTTGCTAAGTAAAACCAACCTTTTGCTTGATTGTTTCTGAATATACTTTGGACAATAATTGGTTTTTAATTTACTCCACTTAAATTGATCTCTTAAGATTTCATGCTTATTCAGAACAGTCAATGTTGAATGTGAACTTAATAGTAAAGATTTAAAATCCGATTGTAGAACAGCGGGATTTCCAAGCAAATTAAGCTCACGTAGAAAATGCATTCTTGATAATTCTTTGTTGATTTCCTAGAGTAATAGGTTATATAAATGAAATGTAATATATGTATATATAAGAAATTAAGATTGCCATTTATACTGCTGGATCACTGAGAAGAGAACTATACGTTGTCTAATCCTTAGTATTGATGAGATTCCATCGAACAAGTTTCATTATGACCATTAGTCCAAATCATGTGCAATGTGGTGGTAGGAAACAAACACGAGAAAGCTATATTTAATTGAGGTTTCATATTACCTGATATTCATCAGCAGAATGTATCGGGAATCTTCAACGGGCTGATCAACCCAGTGGAATTTGAATTCACTTTATCTGCTGTCACATTTAGAAACGAGACAATTGACTTATTAAGTTCAGAATATCACGCTAATCACCTCACACCAACTAATATTAAATATATTATCTATATTCAGTATGAATATCACCGTTAACGATTTGCGAAAACGAAACTGTAAGCTTGTTCGGTAATAAACTTCATCCGATAAATTACCTTATTTACTAATTTCTTTCAGTTAATATTACCAATCAGATATGAAAGTGAAATTCATTACGAGCTTATGTCATTTAAATAGTCATTGAAAATTAGGCCGCCATCAGGTATAAGACTTTACAGCAGTGTGCATCTGTGACGCTCAAGAGGTTAGGCGCAAGACCTTGAGGTTCCACGTTGAGTACGACACCATTACTAAATCGGGATGCAATAATAAAAACTGAATAATAATTATATATAATTCTAATCACTTTGTGATGATTTTATCAGAGTTGCATTCTCCTATATGGATTGCTTGATTGTGAAACTTTTATTACCTTTCTTTGACAACATCGTAACTACAGACTTCAGATAGAGGTAAGGTAGTATGATTTTTTGTTCCAATGACTAACAGCTTGTTTTGTTAACATTAACCTTGACTAGTTGTTGTCAACATTCATCATGTATTTGTCTATTTGCTTATTTTGGTTGTTTCTCCCAGTTGATCTCATTCCTGACCTTATAGTTATGATTTCTCTGATTGGCTGGTAAATTGGATTGATTTCAATATGTTTATTAATCTGGATACCCAGCTTCTAGAATTCCTCTGATCTTTTCTCTGTTATCTCTGTTTAATAATTCAACATTTTCCAAGTCGAACGTGCTCAAAATTGTCAACATATTCTAATACAAACAAAGATTCGTTGTGGCGTTTGAAAACTAATTGGTGTCCGTGTAGACGAAGAATTGCAAAGTCACTACTTTGTTCTATGTAATATTTCTCATAGTCGGATTAGTCTGTTTTGTAACTATATTCGGAGATTTTTTCTTTAGTCATTCCGTCTTCTAGTTTGCATAAGATTGATTGAAATGATTTTGGTGACGTGTGCGCTATGCTTATTCTAAATGACCTCAATAATATGGTGTGAATTTCTTTTGTGTCCTTTATTTATGGTAGAATGACCAATTTGTTGTTTTTCACATTTGATTCCATGCATGTTGATGGGTTTGATAAACGGTTTTTATTGAGGTTAAGTGTAGAAGTGTTATTTTGGAAATGGCCATTAAAGATGTTTCTTCATTTCTTGTCATGTTAGTTGTGTTATAATGTGTTTTCACTTTGTTTTAATTGCGTTTGTACTCAGATGACTTTGTGAGTTATTGGGCTTTCGTAAATCCAGTTGGGAATTCATTCTGTTTGTGTTGGCTTCTTATACACTGATTGTCCTGATATAATACTCGTTATCTTTATAATCTATGACCAAGGACGGATAGATCAAATAAGAACTAGGATATAAATGTTCCTGAATGTATATTTAAGCGCTTGAATTGACTAACCCGTACAGTAGTAAAGATAATCAAATTGTAATAGAACTAAATGAACAAAACTGAACTAAAATAATAATATTATTGGAATAACACGAGAATTAGACCTCTTTATAATTGAATTAGTTATTTATTGATTCCGGGAACCGGAGTCACCTGCACTTGTAGCCCATCGCATCATTCAGCGAATAAAAAACAGTTCAGCGAGAAAAATCACTTTTCGACAAAATCATTTACTTAAGCTGTATATTCGTATTTGTAGTTGTTTGGTAAATTTATGTCTATAGAAGAATAGAAAAGATCACGTCATAAAGTGACTCAAGACTGTAATTATCAAGTGACGTTACGTAATAATCACGGGGTTAGAGAAGAATAGGGTCAGAATTACGACAACTCATTGCTCGCTTGACAAATATGAAGAGAAATTAAAAACATAAAGGTCATTACAATAATAAAAATTGAACAATAATCATCAAATTCATATATATATATATATATATATATATATATATATATATATATATATATATATATATATATATATATCACGAAGCGTGGCTTTTAAGAAGAAAATACAAAGTTATCATCAGTCCAATACAGGAGCACCTGGTCAACTCTGGGCGCATTGTTCCAAAACAGTCTTTCTTTAAAATAATCTACACAATCAAAGGAACTGGATCGAATGTATTGCTTAAGTAAATGATTTCGTCAAAAAGAAAAAATTCCTTACTGCATTCTAAAGCAATTAGTCCCTTTTATAAATTTCAACAGAACAATGAGAAGACGTAGTTGATCTGAAAAATGTGATGTATTTGCGCTATACATTTCGAAAAATCTGGTCACACATATACTTGTCAGGGCATTTTATATGAATTCCCTTTGTTTATTCAATGACATAATGCATTATTTTAATTATACCCAGGATTGCACTAGACTAATCTAATCTGCATTGCATTCAAGTGAGTTTTAACTATCCAGAGTATCAATGTGTTTCAAGTATTTATAGACTGATATAGTAATAGACTATGATTAAAAGAGATATAGATAGATAGGTAGTCAAACGAAAGAATAATCGAAAGATTTGCGTTTAAGACATTCGAATTAATCACACCATTGAGAACAAGTTAATCAATACAATTGAATTAATACATTTAACACTCAAACGCTCCTTCACATATGGTATTCGAAATAAAGTATGCAGTTATGTTAATTTAACATGTCTTTATTAAATACCATACCAACTTTCCACAGTTGGTTCTGATGATGATGATCTGCTCATCTAAGAGTAATACGTTTGATATTTGACTTCTTTATGGTGGATTTTATATCGTTTATACTTGAGAATAATTTTCTAATATAAGGAATAAATTGTCATCACTTTGTCATATAATTTCATATCGATTTAAATTGTTGAATGCACAACTATAAAATTTCTCTAGCATGACAAACAGTTAAACATATATCACCAATTTCATTTAAACTGATTCAATGTTCAAATTTTCAGTATTGACGCTACGAGACAAAGATTATTGATCGAGACATAGTTTTTTTAACAACACATATAATCTACTTTATTGTTTTATATAGTTAATTAATGACCTGGTACCTCGGAGAGTGGGGAGAGCTCGCTCTTCCTCACATGACCACATGTATACATCCACTGCCTTCTCGTGGCGTTTGTGTTGTTTACGAAATTGAGAAAATGAAAAGCGAATGTCTGGCGTTTTAACCGGGTTGGTGGATATAGAGGATCCATTTAGGGGTGGATTGGAAAACCCTGGTTCCAAAACAATTGTACACACGAGCTCCAGAATCCTGAGGGAATAAATGGCATATGAACCAATTATTGGTCATGAGCTATCGTGGGACTGGATCTCTTGACATTGCTCCACTGCCTTGTGGATCATACATTTAGATCGAAAGCTCCGAGTATGATCTCCTAAGAGAACCACCTATTTCGATCTGGGCACAGCTCACATACAAATCAAGTAACTTGTGTAACTCCTTTGTACTAATATTAATCTGTTCAACCCGGGTTAAACATAATATTCACATTATAAATCCTCATTCAACTTACCATTATATTATCTAAATGATTATTTGATAAATCTAATATTTCAAGACAATGTAATTGATATAATTGTCCACAGATATTATGTAATTGATTTGAATTTAATCTTAATTCTATTAATTTATTACATTTAATTAAACAATTATTTAAATTCATTAATTGATTATTATGTAACCATAAACGTTTTAAATTTAATAAATAACCAAATATATTTTCATTTGGTATTAATTTTAATTGAATATTAGATAAATTTAAATCGGTTATTAGTAACCATAGATGAGATAAATTAGAATATGGATGATGATTAGATTGATAGATTCGTTGATAATCTTCTAGACGACATTTCAATGCTTGAAGTATTTATTCAATTCCAATTTATCAGTATTATTATCATTAAGGGAATGAATAAAATTTTCTAAATAATTCACTGGATCAATATACATTCTATTATGTGTAATATCAAATAGGTTATGATGATTGTTATTATTATTGACTTCATTTGTTTTGTTTATATTAGATCATTTGAATAGTAATAATCACCTGGACAACATCAATCTTGTATGGATAATGTCCAATAGAGTTACTTCAATTCTATGTGTGTGTGTGTGGTTATTATTGAATCACATTTAAGTGATGTACTTTAACTATAATTACGGTATATTTTATTGACTAATATACCTTAAATAAATTTGTTCTAGAAAAGACTTTTGTTTTACGATCATAAATAAATTAGTTGTTAGGATGTTCTTGTTTTCCTTTTAAAGTCTTATTAGATAGAATGTAAGAAAATGAATCGATTTTAAGTGCCTTTATTTTCTTTTATTAGATCGATAATAAAGATGGGTTTTTTTGAAAGAATTTGAGTATTGGGTAGATTGTTAATGAGAAAAAAAATAGTAGATTCAATAAGTTGAATTTATGAGTCAATTGAAGCTAGACCAATAATAGGACGAAACGGTCGTTCAGTGCTTTCAGTTTCTCCATGTTGGTCTTGCTTCAATGGATTCATGAATTCAACTATGAAGTTACTATAATATCCACAAAACACTTTTTTGATTATAATCATCATATGCTTATTAGTGACGGTCTTCAAGAGGCATTTCCTGGAATTCGAGTGAGAAGTAGTGATCAGAGCAGTTCAACCGGGTCTGTTGTGAAATAGTTAAATCACTGAAGACAATGGTGAACAGTGGCGCAATTTCGTGGATTGGTTGAAGTTAAACATTAACACCGATGGATGCTGGCTCAGTGGTCTAGAGGTCGAGCGTCTGCGCGCGGGATCGTGGATACTAAGACGGAACGGTCGTTCAGTGCTTCAATATTTTCCATAGTGGTCTAACTTCAATTGACCCATGATCTCAACTATTAAATTACTATAATATCCACAAAACCCCATTTCTGATTATATAAATAATTAACATTTCTTTAAGTAAACACACATTTCATACTATTGACAAACTATAGTGTTTTTATAAAATGATAAATATTCTGTATATACGTAATTATGCAATTCTAATTTCAATACAATACATTTGAATGAGTTATCTGTTTTCAATTTTGATCCAGTCGTGATTATAAGTGTTTGTACTGATTATCATTAAGAATTACTAATTTTGTATATTACACTCTATGTTTGTAATACTCCACACAAAAAAGTATAACATGCATACAAATATTATTCAATGCTACTCCTCCATTTCCTATGCACACTATCTTTCACGCAAATACATTCAGGTAGATCTTATAAAGAATCATGTAGATCTGATTGGAATGACATGAATAAGATCAAATTTATCTTCATTTTCATTGTATTAAGCTTATTCTACTTGGTTACCTTAGTATGATTTATACTTGTGTTTATTTTGGTTTGGTTATTTATTTATACTTTAAAAAGTTGGTTAATGAAGAAAAAAAAAGTCAAACTGCGAATGTCTAATATTCAGTTTTCTACGGATTGAAATTTCTTGAAGCAAATCATCATTTCTATTAATTCATAAAGACAGTTTTCATTATGATTATGATTATTTGTTGTAGAAGTTTTAAATATTATAATTTAATTTGTAGATTAGATGTGCCATGCTTTATTCTGACAATTTGTAACTGATGAAATTCAATATTGTTGAACTTTTAAGTAGCCAGGGGATTTGAATCCAGTGAGATCGTTTCTGATTGCCATTGAGATATACATATTGTCAATCCTCGTGTATAATCATCGTCTTAAATTGTGTTAGTCAATATCGTAATTAAATAAGTCAAATACAAGAATGGACTTTTTAATGTACATTTACTGATCTGGACAGGAAATCCGAGGAACGGAACGAAGGAAGCGGAGAGAAGAGAGTGAAGCGAAATGACGCACAGTGGAGAAGGCGAATGAGTCAACTCCATTTAGTCAAGCGTTAATCAACATTTATAATCACGTAAAAATAAGTTACAGACATGTGATGAATAGGATAAGAAGTGAACACACACATGCTCATATAAAACAGTCACGTTTGATAAGTGAATAATTAACAAAGTCAAAATATGACTCAAGTAGAATGAATAGACTGACCTGTCCGAAAACTAGGATAAGTTATATGGGCTTAACATAATAACCGATACTACAAGCTTTAAACAGTTACTGGGTTATGTTAAAAGCACTTTGTCGCGAACTAATTAAATTTAAAAATTACACAATTATATGGCAGCCTAATGGTTAACTAATCAACAGCTCAACGATTGAGTTCGAGTTTCTAGTAGGATCATAAGTGTTCGCTCAGTCAGTCAGTAACAACGTAGAACTTCGTACGTACGTACATCAGTTCGAGTTGCCACACCACATTAGCACAGAGATGCAGTGGTTGATTCAAATCCCGTAGTGGTAGAAGTAATAAGAGTATAAGCAGTAATCGGGAAGATTAGTGTTTGGAGATGTTACTTAAAGAGTATAATACAGTGAAATAAATTTGAGAGGAGAAAAAAAGAGACAAGGAGGAATAAGGAGATCAAAATTTGGGAGAACACAAAGAGTGGATGCACCTGCGCCATTGCAAACGATTTTAAGCCATGCCATTCAGGGTCTCTGACCATCGATTGCTATCATCTCGCGGTCCCCAACCAGGTAGTCTACACCTACCAATATGATTCAGTTCACTTGTCAGTGACTTCATGGATTTGTGCTATGTTTTGGTCTGGCCGCACCTAGCTTTCTTCCACCCTACTCCTATACAACAAAACATCGCACATCGAGGCAGTCGGTCATTGGGCATACGTAACACATGTCCCAGCCATCTCAACTGATGAAGTTTCACTACGTCATTAATTGATTTGTCATCCTTAATTAGTACCCGTTTCCTAACAACTGCATTACTTACTCGATGGTCCCAGGATATACGAGCAATATTTCGAAGACACCTATGATCAAATACTAGTAACCTACGGATATCCTCTACTCTTACCGGCCATGTTTTACTGCCATGAAGTAGGACAGAATGAACTGCTGCGCAGTAAACACGTCCTTTGGTTGATAGACGGATATCTCGCCTACGCCATAAATGACGCAAGTTGGTAAAAGCTAGTCGAGCCTTCTGTATCCGTGCTGAGATTTCGTCACACACCAGACCACAAGGGCTGATGAGACTTCCAAGATAAGTGAAGCGGTCGACACACTCAACTACTTCACTCCCTATCACTAGTTCGAGTGTCAATGCAACCCAATCTTGAAGCAACATTTTGCATTTCGAGGGAGAGAATCGCATCCCGAAGATGCTTGCATTGTTGCTTAGATTGGTCCGAAGACTCAGCATTTTGTCAGCGTCTTCACCAAATAAAACTATGTCGTCAGCATATTCTAAGTTCACAAGCGAACCTCCCGGTAGAAGTTCAACCCCTGTAAATTTAGATGAGGAGAGTGTTATTTCTAAAAGTACGTCAATGACAAAGTTAAACAAAAATGGAGAGAGTGTTCGCTCAGAAGGATTCTCATACTATGGAAAAATTGCTCTTAGTCAATTCTTCATTTTCAATGATTGTTTGATTATTTGTCGAGAATTATTATTCATTACTGTCAGTTTTACAGCTGGATGTATTTTGTTTATAATCATTTGCACATGCTTCTTGTGGTCAATCTTGTCATAAACTTTTCTCTGCTCCTTTTCATGCAGATTAAAACTTTTTGGTTATAGAGAGTAATTATTATTATTTTTATCAGTAAACTATATTGCTCTATGTGTACTTTTCACAAAACAATGTCCATGAGACTTTATCGTAAAAAACAGTGCATATAATAATAATTCTGAGCACCCATTGTTCAATTTTTCTCAAAATTCTGATTCTGATATCACTGTCTTCAGGAAATCGGAGACTGCACACAAGACACTTAGACTGATCTTCCGTCATTGCTGATAGTCTAAACCGCTCGCATTCTCGATTTACTAAACCTGCATGTTTCACCCAGTCATCATCACCGGCTTTTGTTCTCTGGAGGCACTGATAATGGATATTAAACGAATATGACTGTTCCACAAGGATTTGTGGCAGGAAGTCAACTGTTGCATCGAAAGTAAAATCTGTTGGGTTATTTGAAAGGATGAAATTACGCTAACATTCGTGTTCAGCCGTGCTAAGTTCTCTTAGGATTATTCTGATCTTGACGGCGTCAACACGTTCATTTTTTTGCGTTATGATTTCCGGGATACGAACATGAAACTGTTCATATCCCTTTTCCTGATGTTAGAGCAAAAATTCTACTTGTTCAGGAGCGGTTGGCATTGTCAACGGTACACCTCGTCGCCAGTGTTACGTTATCTACTTAATTACTGCGGAATGTGATATATAACTAACGGCACTCGAACGCGTAAAACCCTGTATTGCGCGTAGCTTCATTGAACGTTGACCCTGTTAACCATTATCGCGGAGATCTCACGGGATTGAATTCAGAATGCGATAAGAAGCTGCGACTGTCATGAACAGAACACGAGTGGGGACAATCGAATGTATTTAAACCCGAAATTACTGAACATCTCATTAAAATCTGAGAACGTACAGTAAATAGTTTATTTGCAAAATATCAATCCATTGTCTTAAACTCCACTGTTCCTTCTACAAATGCCAATCCATCTCCTCAGATGTCAATTGTTCCTGCATTTTCATACCGTTCTTCTTTCCTTCTCGGTTTTCTACTGAAATACATTCTGTACCTGCCCACCGTT